CCACTGGTGTGACGTGCGTCTTACCTGTCGGCCTTCCCAGACTCCCGGATGTAGGACTTGAAGAAGGGAGCCACAGCATTACTGATGAAGGAGTGCAGGGTCTCATAGGGGGAGTCCTCGCTCAGGGTCAGCACCCGCACCTGAGTGGAGATGGGCTTGTCTGCATCCACCACGGGCGTGCGCTTGATGAGGGCCAGGCTGAGGGGAAGGAGAGAGAGGGCATTTCAAGCACAGCACCAAATTTAAAGATCAGAAAGACATTTAGACTTTCCTTTAAACCCAGATTAGGAGCTGCATTACTGCTGCAAAAAAACAGTCCTTTCCAGAATGGGGTAATTCATCTACTCTTCCCTGGACCCAGAGAGGACAGACCCCAGGTCCAGGACCAGAGCTGGTGAGTATTTGACTCATGTATGTGTGATCACTGTTCTGATTATTGATGCAAATGAGAAATGTCGGTCCATTTTACTCAAATTAATGATAGACGAGAAAACAGTCTTTCAGTGCATTTGTTATCAGCAAACAAACCAGAAGATAGTATGCTGAATTTGTACGAGGCCTCTTTTTGATTCACTCTTTGTGACTCGTCAAACTGTGGGTTGACAATGCAATGACACAAACCTGTTGGACTTGATCCCATAGTGGATGTCGATGCTGACGTTGTAGTTGATGCTCTCCTTCTCCTCCTCTCCCTCGTCTCCCACGTCCTCTGTGGAAACGACACAAAGGACTCTCAGCAACACCACAGACATCAGTATTCTACATGTTGTTCACTGAATCATGGGTGGCAATTGGCAAAAATGTGACCATTTGATAGTGTTGCAAAATTTGGGCCACAATTCATTATTAGTGTGTTTAAGTATTGTGATTCGACTCTGCAATATATTGTGAATCATGTCCCTCATATAATTAAAAGGGGGAAAATGAGGAAAATAAGACTTAACTCAAATGTCACATTTATTATAGTCTTCACATTAACTGAGTGCAAACACATGACACATCAGATGAATGGTGAGCTCCCAGCACATCACTTACATTATTCAAAAACAATACTAGTATCAAAATCAGCAGCACTGAAATCAATGTTTTCCTCCACCACTAAAATATGCCACATTATTGATTTGAGACGGGCACTGCTTATACACAATTATGAGGGTAATGCTCAAAAATAAACTTTTTTTTTTTATCCGAGTCACAACATGAATCGATCACATAACCTCAGAGTCATGGGCCTCAGCAGACACAGGCTCAGAGCTGCAGTGGTGTCCTGAGGGAACGTGCACATAATAAACAGAGCGGACCTCATGACAGAGATGAGGGAACTTTAGCAGAGCACAAAAGGCTGCTTCATTCTACGGTCAAGTGGCTGCTTGAGACAAAACCGGCTGAGGTCTAGTTCTAAATGGGATCCTGGCAGGATATTACAAAACGTATTCAAGAGAGAGCTGGTCTCTGCACAGGGAACAAGTTTCTGATTGTAGAAATAATCAGATTAAAGATTTGTATGTGTTTTTATGCCCTGTGCTGCTCAAATAAATTGTCCCTAGTGGGATAAATAAAGTAGTCCGAAATAAAGCTGTTTATTTTCTAAATCTAAAGATAAACAAGAGTGGTTTTAACTTTTAAACCAGTAACGCCCGGACTTCTCCCCAGAAACCCCTCCAGCTATGCCAGAAGAATCCTGAAGAATTTCCAGCATAGAGACACAATCCTCTGGTCTTGCACAGGGTCTTCTCCCGATGGGACATGCCCAAAACACCTAATGGAAAGAGGTACTACCACAGCCTTCTGGGGCTAAGTCTGCATTGGGTTTTTTTTTGGCAACTACCTCACATCATTAGTTCATGTCCAACCTTGACAGGTAATTCAGAACAATAAAGGAAGAATATTGGATTATTTAAACCAGTAAGATCACTAATTATCCCTTTATTGAAGTGCGTAGTGTGGCCTTCTGTGAAACTGCCCTGTAGTCGCTGCCCCAGAGCTCAGACGGTCAGGAGGGCATGACCCACACTGAGGCTGGGGCAATGCAGCGGGTGTGGTCCTGTGCTCAGCAGAGCAGCTTTAGTGACAGACTGATCCACCACCACAGTGCTAAGAAGCGTTCCGTCTTGTCACTGTCAGACTGTACAAGGAAAACTGGAACGCTGTATGTCATCTCATCTATATATAGTATATACTGCCATCATGTGCAATGCTACAATCTCAGATTGTGCACTAAACGTCCCTTTATCTATCTTTGACATATACACACAAGTTTATAATATGATATTGTTGATATAAACTACTGCTCTTAAGAAGCATTCACAGCTTGTCCCCACAGTGGGACAAATAAAGTGTTGTATTTATTTATAATCTTATTTATAGTCCACATGACAGCGGGGACACTGCAGTCCTGGCTCTGTCGTCAGCCTCTCTGTCTCAGGCCTCATGTGTGCTGTGTGCTCGGACCTTTGAGGGAGCTCCTCTCCACCAGGATGGTGTGGATCTGGGGGTCTGCCAGGAACTTCCGCATCTGTTCCGCGGAGCTCTTCTCCTCCAGAGCGGCCTGCAGGGACCCGGGGGCCTCTCCGCCATCTTCCAGCAGCAGTGGCACCAGTTTACGGATGTGCTTCTGGAGGACAGAGATGTCTGCCACAGTCTGAGCTGTGGACACCTCCAAGGCCCCGGACCCGTCGTCTGGGCCTCCTCCGTCAGACATGGTCTTGGTCTTGGTTCAGGTTCAGGTTCTGGATCTGGTTCAGGTTCTGCTGTATTTATCTGATACTGGACAAAGCACTCAGAGCTGAGAGCAGAGTCCGACTGCTCTGTCAGATAGGACGAGTCCGGGTATGTGCGCGCACAGAATCATGGGATATGTAGTCCTGAGAGCCCCGCTCTCAGCCCTATGCACTCAACGACAACTACACTACCCACAATACACCTCTTCATACAGTCCTTGTGTGTGACAGCTGTGACCAGTAGGGGGCGGGAGGGAGAGCCGGTTTCGTGACACTGCAGTTCAGTGATTTATAAAAACATTAGTCATGGTAAAAATCACTTGGTAAACTAGAAAAATATAGAGCGCTGACCTCCGCCATTCATACAGCGATTCGGATCACCTTCAAAATAAAATCCTTGCATATCCTCCCATTAATTGCTCACAACAGATGAACCCCAGCGATTACTCTACCTCCTGTGCTAGTTAAAGTGGTTCTCACCCCCGCTCCTCGGAGCTTACGTCACTCACATTTCCTGTTCAAATCTTCCTCTAAATGGGCGTAGCCTGGAGGACTAAAGGGGGCGTGAACGAGACTGGGCCGTTTACATTGCTCTGGGCGGGGGGCTGCTGACGTCAGGTCCAACTTGCAGACGTCAGGTCCAACTTCTGTGCCAGTGTTGGCGCCAGATTCAAAATTCAAATGTAGTAATACAGGTCGCCAGCAGATGGCGCCTCACAGACGGTTTTAGGCAGAAAGTTTAACTTTCAACTAATTTGCACCAAAGTGACAAAAATATGACCAGGATATGTAGACAACACTATTGGACACTCATTTATACCGTTTATCAGCAAAAAAAAGTGGATTTGAGGGTGAGTTGTCCTTTAATGTACATCACATGACAGTATGTGTGGATCAAAGACTTTGTATAGTCTTTTGTAAATAATATGCAGTCTATGTTAGTATTCATGGTTGTATAACATTCTATGGCTTGTGTTATTATAATAGATCCAGGGTAGTTTTCGGGACATAGCTTTGCAGCCGAGACTGTCCGGGACTGGAACGCCCTCCTCTTGTCACTCTGTCAAATGACAAAGGACAAAAAGTACCACTGTAGACATATGTGTACATAATAAACATGTTCTTATATACGATTTTGAGGAACACAATAGCCATACTTTCCACACCTTTATTGAATAAATAGCAGTCCAAATGGCACAGTCACATGCAATAACAATCATAGATCCCTGAGCTCCTGGCCACACACCAGGACATGGCTTTAATAGGTCCCACAGCCCATGAGGAACCAGCTGAAGTAACCGCTCTGATTAAGCTACTTGGCTGTTAAAAATTACATCAGCAACAGTCATTGAGGAATACATGTGGACAGTTCAAATATCCAATAAAATCATTTTGGTGTATGCCACCCAAATGATGGATGATAAAATATATATTTAAGCAGAAATAAGCTGAGCCTTTTGTTTGGTTTCTTGGGCTTCTCCTGTCGTAATGCAATCTACAAAAAATCTTATTGTAACAGTCCAAATCCAAAGCACACGTCTGAAATAAAACCACTAAGAATGACAGAACATGTTGAAGCAGACATTAAAATGCACATGACAACAAGAACTAATACTTTTGCTTAAAATTTGTTTTTAAAATCAGATGAAATATAGAAAAAAACTGGTGATGTAGTTTGCATTTTGACTTTGACTGGACTGATTTTACACACAGCAAAAATATAAAGTTAAAGAAACTTAAGGCCCCCTTTACAAGATGCTGGTCCTGGACTGGTTCGGGTTTTGAGTGAGAGTCAATTTGATTTTCCACCAGAGAAGTGACAAAAATGACCATAGGAACACATTGTTTACTTGCTGTAGGGTTAGGAACAAGTCAAAACGGTTTTGACTGTCTCTAGTGTTACTAGAACGTCTGTAATTCAGTTGAATGTGGTGAATGCAAAGTAAAAGGATATTGATGATTATTTTAAGCCGACATATTAAATCCATATTTAAACACAAACATGACTAGTTCTCAACTTTTTAACAGTACCACAAAATATCATTTGTATCCTATCTCTATTCTATCTACGATTTCTTCTCCTTCTAGTTTGAGTGAAAGTCAAATCGATACTTTTGACAAAACTAATTCCAAATTTTCCATAATGTGCTTTTGAGTTTGCCGCCACCTCTGAACATCCTGGTTTGATATTCTTCTTCACAAACAGGTGCAATAAGATCAAGATGAGCCCAAAGGATGACGGCTTTTTCCCATTTGCTCTCGGGGGTTGGGTGTGGAGCGCTAGTCCTCCTCAGGGAACTTAAACTTGGCGTAGACGATGAGCATGACCAGAGACATGACCAGGCAGAGCGAGCCGATCACCAGGTAAGCGATGCCCAGGAACTCGTTCTTCCCCCCCATCCACGACACGTTACTGAACATCACCTTTTTGCGTCCCTCGAATTCTATGACCGGGTAATCTGGAGGGCGAGGTCAAGGAGGAGAAACTTCAATTCAATACATTTTTGTATAGCACTAAATCACCTCTATCTCTGAGGACTTTACAAGACCGCTGATTTGCCAACATACTGTAGACCAGAAAAGCAAACAGGGCAAACACAAGAAATGCTATGAAAAAAAACACAAAGAAAAAAAAAAACACTTATTGGTCCATAAGGGGCAGATGACCAATGTCCATTTGTTAGTTCGTCAGTGAAAAACGGTTACAGCTAGGTCGCGAGAGGTGAACAGTGCCATAGAGAGGGACCACTGTGCATGGATTTGATTACTGAAGGTTACACTACAAAAAGTGATAAACTCACTCAAAAATGTTACATATTTGGCTAAATTTATCATAATTTGAGCACATTCCGACTTTAAACAAAAATTGCCAATAGGACAAGCAAAATGACCTTGCTTTACTTTCTAATTCCAAGGGAGACATTTCTTCTGTATATTTTTAAAGGAACAGTGCTTGAAATAAGACTAAATGGCCTTGTCCCATTGGTCAATCTTGTCAGAATGTACTGAAACTAAAAGATAAACCACTTGACTCACGCAATTTTTACCTAAAATTTTATGATTTTGTTTGCTTTGACTTGACCGCAGTGGTAAAGCAAAGAGCACTTTCTGTATGATTGAAGTTAAATCCGTTAAAAAACATTCACACATTTTGCTAAAGAGTTCAGCGCTAAAGCTCTGGGTTTGAGTAAAATACTGTATTAACTAAAATATATATCATTAATGTGAGAACTAATGACAAATAAAAATACTCCAGTACAAAGACTAAGGTGGAGTTTTTCCTCTTGAGTTTAGTTCTTGCACTTCATCCATCACTACATTTCCCTATGAAGACATGACGTGATAAGATTTGCCTGTCGCATTTGCTTTGAGCACGGGACTGGCCTCTGCATGTGCCACACTCAGTATCTGTCTGATGTGAGCCACACAATCTAAGCATTGGTCTCACTCACTCTCCCTCCCTCTGGTCTGCCCCTCTTCTCCTTGGTTTGCCCCTCTTCCCTTCTGGTCTGCCCCTCTTCTCTTCTGGTCTGCCCCTCTTCTCTTCTGGTCTGCCCCTCTTCTCTTCTGGTCTGCCCCTCTTCTCTTCTGGTCTGCCCCTCTTCTCTTCTGGTCTGCCCCTCTTCTCTTCTGGTCTGCCCCTCTTCTCTTCTGGTCTGCCCCTCTTCTCTTCTGGTCTGCCCCTCTTCTCTTCTGGTCTGCCCCTCTTCTCTTCTGGTCTGCACCTCTTCTCTTCTGGTCTGCCCCTCTTCTCTTCTGGTCTGCCCCTCTTCTCTTCTGGTCTGCCCCTCTTCTCTTCTGGTCTGCTCCTCTTCTCTTCTGGTCTGCCCCTCTTCTCTTCTGGTCTGCCCCTCTTCTCTTCTGGTCTGCTCATCTTCTCTTCTGGTCTGCCCCTCTTCTCTGGTCTGCCCCTCTCCTCCTCTGGTCTGCCCCTCTCCTTCTCTGGTCTGCCCCTCTTCTACTCTGGTCTGCCCCTCTCCTCCTCTGGTCTGCTCCTCTTCTACTCCCCTCTCCTCCTCTGGTCTGCTCCTCTTCTACTCCCCTCTTCTCCTCTGGTCTGCCCCTCTTCTCCTCTGGTCTGCCCCTCTCCTCCTCTGGTCTGCCCCTCTTCTACTCCCCTCTCCTCCTCTGGTCTGCCCCTCTCCTCCTCTGGTCTGCTCCTCTTCTACTCCCCTCTTCTCCTCTGGTCTGCTCCTCTTCTCCTCTGGTCTGCCCCTCTTCTCCTCTGGTCTGCCCCTCTTCTCCTCTGGTCTGCACCTCTCCTCCTCTGGTCTGCCCCTCTTCTACTCCCCTCTTCTCCTCTGGTCTGCCCCTCTTCTCCTCTGGTCTGCCCCTCTTCTCCTCTGGTCTGCCCCTCTCCTCCTCTGGTCTGCCCCTCTTCTACTCCCCTCTTCTCCTCTGGTCTGCCCCTCTTCTCCTCTGGTCTGCCCCTCTTCTCCTCTGGTCTGCCCCTCTTCTCCTCTGGTCTGCCCCTCTTCTACTCCCCTCTTCTCCTCTGGTCTGCCCCTCTTCTCCTCTGGTCTGCCCCTCTTCTACTCCCCTCTTCTCCTCTGGTCTGCCCCTCTTCTCCTCTGGTCTGCCCCTCTTCTCCTCTGGTCTGCCCCTCTTCTCCTCTGGTCTGCCCCTCTTCTCCTCTGGTCTGCCCCTCTTCTCCTCTGGTCTGCCCCTCTTCTCCTCTGGTCTGCCCCTCTTCTCCTCTGGTCTGCCCCTCTTCTCCTCTGGTCTGCCCCTCTTCTCCTCTGGTCTGCTCCTCTTCTCCTCTGGTCTGCCCCTCTTCTCCTCTGGTCTGCCCCTCTTCTCCTCTGGTCTGCCCCTCTTCTCCTCTGGTCTGCCCCTCTTCTCCTCTGGTCTGCCCCTCTTCTCCTCTGGTCTGCCCTCTCTCCTCCTCTGGTCTGCCCCTCTCCTCCTCTGGTCTGCCCCTCTCCTCCTCTGGTCTGCCCCTCTCCTCCTCTGGTCTGCTCCTCTTCTACTCTGGTCTGCCCCTCTTCTACTCTGGTCTGCCCCTCTTCTACTCTGGTCTGCCCCTCTTCTACTCTGGTCTGCCCCTCTTCTACTCTGGTCTGCCCCTCTTCTACTCTGGTCTGCTCCTCTTCTACTCTGGTCTGCTCCTCTTCTACTCTGGTCTGCCCCTCTTCTACTCTGGTCTGCCCCTCTTCTACTCTGGTCTGCCCCCTTCTACTATGGTCTGCTCCTCTTCTACTCTGGTCTGCCCCTCTTCTACTCTGGTCTGCCCCTCTTCTACTCTGGTCTGCTCCTCTTCTACTCTGGTCTGCTCCTCTTCTACTCTGGTCTGCCCCTCTTCTCTTCTGGTCTGCCCCTCTTCTCTTCTGGTCTGCCCCTCTTCTCTTCTGGTCTGCCCCTCTTCTCTTCTGGTCTGCCTCTCTTCTCTTCTGGTCTGCCCCTCTTCTCTTCTGGTCTGCCCCTCTTCTCTTCTGGTCTGCCCCTCTTCTCTTCTGGTCTGCCCCTCTTCTCTTCTGGTCTGCCCCTCTTCTCTTCTGGTCTGCCCCTCTTCTCTTCTGGTCTGCCCCTCTTCTCTTCTGGTCTGCCCCTCTTCTCTTCTGGTCTGCCCCTCTTCTCTTCTGGTCTGCCCCTCTTCTCTTCTGGTCTGCCCCTCTTCTCTTCTGGTCTGCCCCTCTTCTCTTCTGGTCTGCCCCTCTTCTCTTCTGGTCTGCCCCTCTTCTCTTCTGGTCTGCACCTCTTCTCTTCTGGTCTGCCCCTCTACTCTTCTGGTCTGCCCCTCTTCTCTTCTGGTCTGCCCCTCTTCTCTTCTGGTCTGCCCCTCTTCTATTCTGGTCTGCTCCTCTTCTCTTCTGGTCTGCCCCTCTTCTCTTCTGGTCTGCCCCTCTTCTCTTCTGGTCTGCTCATCTTCTCTTCTGGTCTGCTCATCTTCTCTTCTGGTCTGCCCATCTTCTCCTCTGGTCTGCCCCTCTCCTCCTCTGGTCTGCCCCTCTTCTACTCTGGTCTGCCCCTCTCCTCCTCTGGTCTGCTCCTCTTCTACTCCCCTCTCCTCCTCTGGTCTGCTCCTCTTCTACTCCCCTCTTCTCCTCTGGTCTGCCCCTCTTCTCCTCTGGTCTGCCCCTCTCCTCCTCTGGTCTGCTCCTCTTCTACTCCCCTCTCCTCCTCTGGTCTGCCCCTCTCCTCCTCTGGTCTGCTCCTCTTCTACTCCCCTCTTCTCCTCTGGTCTGCTCCTCTTCTCCTCTGGTCTGCCCCTCTTCTCCTCTGGTCTGCCCCTCTTCTCCTCTGGTCTGCACCTCTCCTCCTCTGGTCTGCTCCTCTTCTACTCCCCTCTTCTCCTCTGGTCTGCCCCTCTTCTCCTCTGGTCTGCCCCTCTTCTCCTCTGGTCTGCCCCTCTCCTCCTCTGGTCTGCCCCTCTTCTACTCCCCTCTTCTCCTCTGGTCTGCCCCTCTTCTCCTCTGGTCTGCCCCTCTTCTCCTGTGGTCTGCACCTCTTCTCCTCTGGTCTGCCCCTCTTCTCCTCTGGTCTGCCCCTCTTCTACTCCCCTCTTCTCCTCTGGTCTGCTCCTCTTCTCCTCTGGTCTGCCCCTCTTCTACTCCCCTCTTCTCCTCTGGTCTGCCCCTCTTCTCCTCTGGTCTGCCCCTCTTCTCCTCTGGTCTGCCCCTCTTCTCCTCTGGTCTGCCCCTCTTCTCCTCTGGTCTGCCCCTCTTCTCCTCTGGTCTGCCCCTCTTCTCCTCTGGTCTGCCCCTCTTCTCCTCTGGTCTGCCCCTCTTCTCCTCTGGTCTGCCCCTCTTCTCCTCTGGTCTGCCCCTCTTCTCCTCTGGTCTGCCCCTCTTCTCCTCTGGTCTGCCCCTCTTCTCCTCTGGTCTGCCCCTCTTCTCCTCTGGTCTGCCCCTCTCCTCCTCTGGGTCTGCCCCTCTCCTCCTCTGGTCTGCCCCTCTCCTCCTCTGGTCTGCACCTCTTCTACTCTGGTCTGCCCCTCTTCTACTCTGGTCTGCCCCTCTTCTACTCTGGTCTGCCCCTCTTCTACTCTGGTCTGCCCCTCTTCTACTCTGGTCTGCCCCTCTTCTACTCTGGTCTGCCCCTCTTCTACTCTGGTCTGCCCCTCTTCTACTCTGGTCTGCCCCTCTTCTACTCTGGTCTGCTCCTCTTCTACTCTGGTCTGCTCCTCTTCTACTCTGGTCTGCCCCTCTTCTACTCTGGTCTGCCCCTCTTCTACTCTGGTCTGCCCCTCTTCTACTCTGGTCTGCTCCTCTTCTACTCTGGTCTGCCCCTCTTCTACTCTGGTCTGCACCTCTTCTACTCTGGTCTGCCCCTCTTCTACTCTGGTCTGCCCCTCTTCTACTCTGGTCTGCCCCTCTTCTACTCTGGTCTACTCCTCTCCCTCTGGTCTGCCCCTCTTCTCTTCTGGTCTGCCCCTCTTCTCTTCTGGTCTACCCCTCTTCTCTTCTGGTCTACCCCTCTCCCTCTGGTCTACCCCTCTCCCTCTGGTCTACCCCTCTCCCTCTGGTCCCTCACATAAAGGATACTGTAGCTGATGTCCAGGCTGTAGTTCCCCTTGGGCAGGCCCTGGGCGTAGTCTCCTTCTGTGATGCGTCTGTACAGTTTCCTGAAGTTGGGCAGAGCGGCACGCCTCATCCACACCAGAAAGTCCTGGTTGATGAAGCCGTTGTTGGCCTCGTCATCGCGGCCCAGCTCGTAGGCCGCCTTGGACCAGAACAGAGGCTTCACCGTGCCTACAAGACAGGGCACATAAGATAAGATAAGATAAGCCTTTATTAGCGTCCCTCAGTGGGGGAACTTCAATGTCATCCTGGCACATATTATAGCAGAATAAAAAGGAGGAAATAAGATATATCTGCAGAGAGTGAGAGTGAGAGTGAGTGAGTGAGTGACTAGAGAGAGACACCAGAGAGAGAGTGGCCTGAGAGAGAGAGACACCAGAGCGAGAAAGAGTGACCTGCATTAATTACAGATGTTTATATTGTACTTTAGCAGGAGAGAAAAGAAACCGGAATAAAAATATTAATAATAATAGCAGCAAGTAAAGTGACTTGTGTACTCTCCAAAACAGAAATCAGATGAATGGAATGTGTAATAATGTAGTAATAATAGCAGATATAGTGACTAGCAACTCGTAGTTGCTAGTCTATTATAACACAATAAGGAGCTTTGTAATCATCAGTTTTGTTTCAATTTTGAAATCTGTGCATTTTATGTTGGTGGTAATTCAGACCTGTCGCAGTATTCTCTTTGAATTACAAATATGTACTTAAACATTTTTGTTATAGATCAAGCCATGACTAGAGACTAAAGTTTTGGCTTGTGATCAGTACAGGTACAAAGCAGCAACGCTCCTGATTGGCTCTTTGGTTGCTCGGTCACGGTTATTTGAGAAGCATGTTTGAGTTGGCTCCAATCCTATTGAAGCTCATCAGAGTTAGCTTTAATCCTCATGCATTAGGTGGACAGAGGGACCTTCAGATGACTAACAGTGTTTAGTAATGAGTCTTTGAATGACCAAAAAACACATTTGTTATAATAATAATGGTACCGTTGAAGGCGTCCTGGAGGGAGCTCACGGACGGGTTCCTGTACTTGATGTTATGGTCGGTCCACCAGGCGATGCCCTTCCCGTCAAAAGGCACTATCTTCTTCGTGCCGTTCACCATTTGATATAGTGTGAACGTATCTGAAACACAGCACACGCCAGTCTCTCTCTGGCCCCTCTCTCTCTGGCCCCTCTCTATCTGGCCTCCCTCTCCCTCTCTGGCCTCCCTCTCCCTCTCTGGCCTCCCTCTCCCTCTCTGGCCTCCCTCTCCCTCTCTGGCCTCCCTCTCCCTCTCTGGCCTCCCTCTCCCTCTCTGGCCTCCCTCTCCCTCTCTGGCCTCCCTCTCCCTCTCTGGCCTCCCTCTCCCTCTCTGGCCTCCCTCTGGCCTCTCTGGCCTCCCTCTGGCCTCTCTCTCTCTCTGGCCTCCCTCTGGCCTCTCTCTCTCTCTGGTCAACCCCCTTCCACTCACCATTGAACATGCTGTTGGCCAGAGCACCGCAGGGCACAAAGGGTTTACCGTTGGAGTCTCGTACATACGGAGCACATGAGGTGTCCGGCTCCTGATGGGTGTGAACACAAAGGAGCATTTTATTTATGGTTAAGTAAAATTTACTTTTGAACGATATTCTATTTTTCAGAGTTTAAACTTTATAGTAAAGACACGACCAAAGGTCATGGGTAGCATTGAACTAATAGATCTAGATTCTGAAGATTATTTTTAGCAACATTTCAGACATTTTGAAAAAACAAAAAGTTTGGCTCCCCATATGAAATTTGGGAATTTGTTTTTTTCAAGTTCAGGAGACACAAAAACTGTGTTTTGCTGGAACTGGGCAAGTAGAGAGAGGCAGGAAGGAACGCACTGGTGCCTTAGGGTTTCCATTTTAAGAATATGTTATTTTGCATATAAACACTTGCTCATCACATCTACACCAAACAGGACATGTGGTCAAACAAACGACACAAACCCCCTAAAAGAAAGTGTTCAGTGATTTTAGTTACCTTAAAGTAAGTCAGATCTCCGGACAGCTGATTGTAGTCTTTAGACACGCCATATCCCCGCTGGTTCTGGAAGTAGTTGGTGAGGCCGTAATAAAAGAACACTGGACCCTGTGGGGGCAAGAACATTTCAGTATGTTCGAAAATATAACAATACATACTACAAACTATCGAACCATCGGCCGCTCTTTGTTTAGATTGAAAAAATAGGAAATGATCACAACATTAAATCAAATAAATGTGTATGTTACAACAACAACAAAAGTTTCCTGGACTGATCAAAGACCAGACCCCTGCTGGTGAATTTTTGATGTGTTATCTGTTGATGCTGCTGTGGTGGGTGTGGTTCTGGTTATAGCTATGCACACTTCTGTCTTTTGCATAATCTGAGTGATTCTATCGATGCCAAATGTGACATGTAAAGTCCATCTTATGTTATCTTATCTAAATGTAAATAAGGCAATAAAAATCTGTCCGGCAGAGTGGTAAGCACTCTCGCTTCTCAGCAAAAACGTCCTGGGTCAGAATCCCGTTCAGAACAGGGCTTTTCCGAGTGGAGTTTACATGTTCTCCCCAGGTCTGCGAAGGTTTGCTCCAGATGTTCCAGTGTCCATTACCACCAAAAACATGTATCAGCCCAAGGCTAGAGGTGCATTTATTAACGTGCTCTGTCCCAACCAAATAAACAAATACAGTTACATACTGGAACAGCAAAGATACTGTGCAGAACCCTCAAGCTCCCAGGCCTCTGGTAGAGGACCCAAGCTTAGAGAGGGATAACTGCCTGCAGAGGGTAAAAGGTGTGTGTATGGTTTTTTTTTTTAAGATACATATTTTAAAGTGTGTTTTTATTGTTTCTACTTCGTTCTTTTCACTTGCCTGCAAGGCACTGTTTGAAGAGTGTTCTACAAATCAAGATTGATTGATATTTTTGGTGTACAGAGGCTTCATAAATGAGGCCCTTTGAGTACTACTACTTCTCCAGCACTACTCTTCTCTCCAAACAGACATGGGCAGACCTCAAAGAGCTTTTCCAGGCTGAAGGTCAGGGTGCAATTGCAGTTCTTTTTGCTGATGGGGTCTGAGCAGGAGAAGCAGGGAGAGTTCTGCTCCACACCGGTGTAGTCCAGCTGTGGGAAACAACACAGGATCAAATATTAATGTTTCTTTCACACTTCACAGAAGGATCAGTTACAGAGCTGACACCAGAGTACCACACCAGACTTCGTCATAGACCTTCAACCGCTGCTACTACGGAGCTCAGGACTATGCTGTGAGAACTATCATTGTTCTCTTAAAGCTGGGTATCTAACTTTCAAATGACAAAAATTACCAGTAATGGTCATCTGCCCCTTATGGACCAATGGCTGTGCGTTTTTAATTGTAGCACTTCCTGTCCCTTAACTGTTTGATTCTCTGATCTGTTGTTGGTGAATTGACTGTTTTCTAAAGTCCTCCAAAATAACTATTGTTGTGATTTAGGGCTGTACCAAAATAAATGTAATTGAATTGAATGCATGTGAAAAATATTGATGTTTTCAGAGCGCAGTGGATTCTATTACAGCTTTCTCTTTTTGTGGTTTTAACGTTAACTACCAAATCTTTAAGATGAAGAGATCCTTTATTTGTCTTGTAGTTGGGAAATTTCAGTGTTGCATCACTGGTTTCAGAACAGCAGGAATGAGGAGCACACAGCACAGAATAATAAAGAAGCAAGCCTAAAATCTAACAGCGTATACCATTGTATTCATTCAAAGGCCTCCTCTCGTACCTCTATGACCTGCAGCCCCCTGGAGGTGACGAACAGAGCCACCCCGATGCCGATGAAGATCAGGCCCACCAGCACAAACAGAGGGATGACGATGCCTGCGGACAGCATGGGCTGCCAGGCCGGGAGCCTCTGCTGGGTGAACGCCGTGTTGTCCGGCCGGTTCTCCCCCTTCACCTGCTCCTTCTTACGCATTCTGCTGGTTCTGTGGACAGACACAAGAGCAGGTCTTTAGAATGAGAAAAAAAAATGTACATGAATTACCTCTCAGGTCCAATTCAATTTGAAAGACAGGAAAAATCTGATATTTGGGGAAAATTATCATATGAGTAATATACAATCTTGACTTATTTTTGAGAGAAAGAGACCTTTACAGGTAATGGATTCTGGGATGTTGCAGAAATGCAACATTGGTTTGCTGTGGTAAATAGAGCTGAAGAGATATAATCTAATTGGCCTGTACTGCATCAAATATACTATATACAGCTCAGCTCCCAGGTGAGCAGGGGGACAACTGTGTGTTGCTAAAGCTCAACTCAGTCCAGCAGTGACACTGCTGGGTAAAAAAAGAGGGTTAGTCATGCCACAAAGACCTTCCACATAACCGTCTTAGCTTTCACCATATCACAACAAACAAAGAAGTGTCAACGTTGGGAGAGCATTGGTCTTTGAACCTAATGGTCGTGGGTTCGATCCCCACACAACTCATGTCACCTGGTCCCACTGATACTTAACCCCACTTTGCCCATCATTATCATTATCATTGGATTTCATGTGTTGGAATAGCTGTTTGATCTGTGTTGGCGGATTCAACAATTTTGAGAAGTCCCCTGAGATAACTACTGTTGTTATTTAGGGCTATTCATTTCTTTGCATGTGGACATTACAGTGGTCTTCCCGCTCCCACAATGGCTTATAATTGCATTTCCTATGTTCAAACCATTTCATTCTCTTATCTGTTGTTGAGGAATCAGCAGATTTGTAAAGTCATCCTGCTGTTGCAATTTAGGGCTGAGCAAAAATAAATTACATTTGGAACTTAACTTGTTGAAACGCTGTTATTCAATCAATCATTTACAATAATTGTAAGATTCTTGCTGGACAATTTCCTCCTGTACAAGGAAAACAGCCCCAAAACATCACAGCTCTGGATAAGAGCTGTGCGGAAGAATGGGCCAAAATACAAGCTTCAGTGTGAGGGAACCTGGTGAGGACCTGCAGTATGCAAAAGACAAGTAACATGGCTTCTATTGAGATAAGGACCAAGCCTTTTTTAATTGCACAATCATGTTAAATATAAGAAAAGAATTCCTGTACTTATACATGTTGAAATTGAAATGATGGGAGTTGATATTCTGTTAAGGTGTTATTACAGTGTTATTATTATATATGTTAGATATCATGCATCCCACCGAAGCAACTCTCTCTCACCCATAACCTTCTAAAGTTCCTAAGTTTCTCTTTCCAGAGTTGATTTGCATTTATCACCAGCTGCTGTTTGACTCGTGCGTCTCTCCGTTGTGACCTCGGAGTCGACAGAAGAGCAGAGTCACCATGTTTTTGTGTGAGTTTGAGATTCCCTGCACATGCACTCTCTCTCTCCGCTCTGCTGCAGCCCTGAAGTGAAGACCCCAAGGACCGGCAGAGGCCAGGGACCAGCAGATTCAGATTCAGATTCAGATTCATTTATTTGCCATTTGCAGTAAAACCACATTGGAAAAACTGTGCAAGACTACCCCGGTGTGCACCAACACACATCAGAGTCCCTGGCAGAGGCCAGGGACCAGCAGAGGCCAGGGACGATGAGGCCAGGGCCAGGATCACCTCCACCATGTCCTGCCCAATGCTCTATGTATTTAGTATTTAGAGGTAAAGTATCAGCAGTTTACTGACAGTTCTGGCTTCTGTTGTGATTTATAATGTGGGGTTTATACAGTAGGAATAGTTGTTATGGGTGAGAATTGTCTCCTGTTCAGCCCCTGCAATCTCACTGGAGGAATACCATCTTAGAAAATATGTGGTGAAATAAGTATAAAGGGTAAACAAAAAAACTTTCTCCCTGTAACTCTCTATGCTACCACCAGAGGGAGGAGTTCAATTTGTCATTTTGTTTTTTGTGATTGTAAAGAGCATTAAATCACTTCAAAAGTTGGCAATTCTAATTTATGGGCAATATGGGTAAAAATGACTTGATCTCATTGATGTACCTTTTATATGTACATTTCAGGATGGCTGAGTGGTTGTGGTGTTGGGCTTCAGGTGCAATGGACTGTAATTCTGGTTGGTTCAAACATCCAACACCCGTGCTGCTCTGGTCTCTAAAGAAGTGAGTCCCAGGTGTGAATCAAGAGAAATGCCTCACTGAAATATCTTTCTGTTTTATTGCAGGCTCTACGTGAGAATTTGTCTGTATGACGTTCCACTTTTTATATGGACAATTTGTTTGTTTTTTCAGAAGGCACATGTACCAGAATGGCTGAGTGGTTAGTTGTCTTCGTGGGTTCAAACCCCACTCCTGGTAGTTTTAGAATGGAAAATATACATACAGTATACATTTTCCATTCTAAAACACCAGGACTCTGATGTAGTCGGGGTGTGAGGAAACCCCGCTCGTGCCTCTCTCTGCAGGAGGCTCAGTGCAGTTAATGGAAAAATATTTTTGTTCTAATTTTTTGAGCTTCAGGGATTTGAAAATATAAAGGCTTTTCTCTCAGATGAGATTCAGAGCAGCTGTAGCATTGATGTAGTCTAATCCAACATTATGGTTCCTGATGATTTAAGAGAGATCCTTTATTCGTCCCACAATGGGGAAATTTCAGTGTTGCATCGCAAGTTACAACAGATATATGTCAATTTTAAAACATGAAAAAACTCTGAAGAGGTGAAACGCCCCAAAATCCGCCAGAAGACCGAAGAAAGGGGCATAAAGAATACAAGAAAAAATAGTTTATTCATAACATATATCATTGTATATACTGAAAATGTGTGATAAGTATTTCACAAATGTTGCTGTTGAAGTCTGGTTTCATAATCTGCTTTATTCCTGGTGATTCTGTTGTGACTCAGAGGAAGAGGATGCTGCTCCATTGTTTTATCGTCTCTCAAACACCCACAGACTCAAAACCAAAACCACAAAACTACCTCCACATAGACGCTGCAGCCTGCGGACACACGAGCAGCGGCGTCGTAAAAATAGGTGCGATGATTGTGACGAACGAAGAACGTCACTGTCAACGAATCCAAAACGAGAGAGTGGTTTGTACAGTTGCATTGTGGGATTTAATTTCAGTCATTTCCTTTTCAATCTATTTTTATATGAATGAGGAAGGCTTAAGCTAACATGTATGACTCATGACAAGGCAACTGAAAATGTCTTGCTCTGGATTTTATCTCGTACATTCACAATAAAAAAAAAAAAATAGTAAGAAGTGTATGGCTCAGCTACAGAGGGTCTGGATGCGAGTTCTAGAGAATGATTGACGATTATACAGAATAACTTTCTTTTTGTCACACCAAGGTTTGAATTTTCAATAGAAGTCCTTCCAGGAGCAGTAATTGAACCCACGTCTTAACCTCTCTGCCATCCAAGTACACATGAACTATATGGAGACTCATATAAATCCTTATACAACCAAAAGAGCAGATGCATCCAGAGAAAATTGCATCGTACAAACTCCCATGTAAATCTGCAATATATTATATAAGAGATAATATAATAATATAAGAGATATCAGAGAAACAGGAAGAGTGTTCAGAAAAAAGAATGCCTCCAGGAAAGAAACAGATAACAAGATCAACTATGGAAAAAACAATACAGCAACGTCTGACCACAGCAATAGAGAAAATCATATATTTAAAAAAATAGATTAAATAGATAAAAAATTAGGAAGTGTGTCGCACAGATCATCAACAGAGATGCTGGGGCCTTTACCTTGGGACTCACTTCTCTGCATCAGTCTATCCCTGCGTAAACATAATGCTTCAAGTTACTAGGTTTTTCAGCCTGGATCCACGCATGCTCATCAGTCCTTAATGGTACAGAGATTTGACAACACAGAGTTTTCATTTTAAATTTGCCAGGAGTGGGGATTGAACCAACAAGGACTGTTGAAACTTAAGGTCAACGCCTCAACCACTCGGCCATCTTGGTACTACAACCAAAATGAAAATGTGATTGAAACTGTGTTGCAAGCGAGGAGGTGATCTGATTTATGATTTACATTTATGTACATTTGTTAACATTGGTCCAATGGACCAAAAGTTCGAACTGTTTGATTCTCTGATCTGTTGTTGGCAAATCAACAACTTTGTAGTCTTCCAAGATGACTGCTGTTATGATTTATGGCTCTACAAAAATACATTGAATTAAAATGAACTATGCCCCCAGTCGTGCAGCTACGGATGGGTGAAGCTGAATTCAGAGACGACAGCACCTGATTTATCAGTTGTTTGAAAACACCAGTAATAGAGCGTTAAAATGAATAATAATAGGGTTTTTTTCAGAGACCAAGTGGCTTTATTGATCATGTCAGAAAAACATGTTTGAAGTCTGCGACCTTATAGATGTCTATACTCAAACATAGAGGGAAATGTATTTGAGAATGTGTTTGTAACGAGGGCTGGACGATGGATTGACACTTTATGGTCCTGGTGTGGCAGGAGTTTGAAGTAATGTTGACACCCTGCTTGATACAAACAGTGCAGCATTTTGTCCACTTAAGTCAACTGTGGCGCCTAGAGGGTTAATAAATCTGGTTGAATAAAGTAACTCACTGTTCTTGAGATTTGCTCAGAATGCTGTTGATTTGAATGGAAGCAGCAGCTCCTGAACTGTGCCCATGACGAGGCTGTGACCCACTCGCAGCTCTGGGGTTCAGTTCTGTCCTTTCACAGGTGTAAAAATAGAGAGAAAATGGGACAGAGGCGCAAGATCCAGAGAGAACCCACTGAGGAAGAGCAACACCGGAGTTTGTCACAAGCAGCGATCTGATCCACCACAACTAAGACATACCTTATTCACTGGAAGGATTTACTCATATATTTCTATTAATTCAAATGTTCACATAATATTCAAAAGATTCAAATGAGATGGCTGTATCAATTGTTTTGGTAAGATTGCGTAAAGACCTCAAGAATATTGGGAAATAAGAAATTGTCACAAAAACACTTGAGCAGACACAAACACAGAATCCACACAAAAAATGTATCCAAGTCAAGTTTACGAGCTGCGATTAAATCATTTCGGTAGGTTCTTTTTCGTACACAATCCATACCTGCTTTGACGGACACTGGGGGCTCAAACTATATTTATTTTGTGGGTTCAGAGTCCAAACATGGGGCTATAGATAGATATATTTTCTGCATTCATTTTTGATCTGTTCAAAGATGTCTTGACTCGGAAAGTAGCTATTTGTTTTATTAATGAGCAAGTTTGAGGATATTTGTGCAAATGTCTACATGTAGCTGATGTAAGTTGCTGAACAAATGAATAGTCTTACTAAGTTTTAAGGGCCGTATACATACACTTGTTGTGATAAAACGTTCCAAATGAGGTCCCTGGTTAGTGCTGTGAGACCCACAATGGATACACAGATTGTCTATGATTTGTATGTAGGATTGAAAGCATGAGGTGATGGTCGAAAGCAGTAGAATTAATGGCTTCGCATCCACCAGTCTGCCCCGGGGCAACCATGGCAGCAGTAGTAAATTACCACTGCACATGTTGATTATTATTATTAGTATTATTGTTACAATGGCCTTGTGTTTTTGCATCCCTGCTCTCTGTTCAAACGTTTATGAGCAATTTCACCTGTTTTCACAAGTTCACACCATTCGCACTCATTTAGAGACATTAGTGATGTGATGTTTCTCCCTCACACTCGTCTCATTCACAGCTGCTCAGAGGTGTCAGTGATAATGAGAGCAGCTGCAAACGTGCTTCTCAAACTGTGGGGCCAGGACTATATAGGTGACACACACACAGCTCTTACAGTAATATCAAATCAATCCAGATTTATGGACCTGGTTCACACTAGTTTTTCACTAGGTTTTTCACTAGGTTTTTCTATCTATCTATCTAACTTACCTATCTTACAGATCTATTCTTCTTATCTATTTTACTATATATTTTACTATCTTCCAACTATCTATCTATCTAATCGTCCATCCATCTCTCTCTCTCTCTTTCTCTCTCTCTACCTATCTCTCTATCTATGCATCTATCTATGTTTTGAAATGCTTTGAAAATCACTGGGCTAAAATCTACAATAAAACTTGCCTCCCCATTATAATCCAGTCTTCAGAACTGGTCCCTGTCCCCTTGGTAACCTCCTCATCTCTGCTCTGTTGGCACCGTTCCTTTTGAGAGAGTTGGAGTTAATGCTACAAAGATCCTGTGTGTCCTGGTCCCGGGTTTAGGGTTTAATCCAATTGGACACATCCATTCAAAGCGCTCAAGAGACGTGGACAAGGCTGGATACAAGGTTAAAATACAGACGGATGCGAAGTGGTGTTTTTGATTTCTGTTAGACAGACTGCGGTTTATTTGGTTACATTTCCCTTAAGGATAACGAACAGATACAAGTAGGAAGCCAACTTTGTTTTACTGTAAAGCCAACACTTCAAGCCTCATTGAAAGCCTCAAATGTACAATATAGGACCAGGATTTGCTATGTGGCTGTACCTGCATGTCTGAAGCTAAGCTGTGCAAGGCATGGCCTGGTTAGTGCTGTGATGGGAGACCTCTGGGAACATCATTGGGGTGGCTATGGCTGTACCAAATTGTTGTTTTGTTCTTTTGCAAGACACTTCACCCACTTCAGAATGAATCTGGTGTGTGTGTGTGTGTGTGTGTGTGTGTGTGTGTGGGTGTGTATGCTCCAGCTATAGATCCAGGAATGAGGCAGTAGAACTGGCAGCTATAATCTTTGTTATTGTCCCATGCGCAACTAAGGCCTTTTTTCCCCGTTTGATATCTTTTGTTGACTTTATAGTTTTGTGATATTAGGCTAAACAAAACAGCCTTTCATTCTATAAAGTGAATAGCTAATAGTATAGAACAAAGCAAAGCCACTCGTTTTCATTTTGCAACAAATTGTCTAAAATTACTGGAGCAAGCAGTAAGATTTGGTGTTTGATTTTCTTTAGTGATTCAGTGATTCAGAGATGATTCAAGAGCCTCCCACAATAAACTCAAAAAGATCAAATTGTTTCAGGTCACTGAACGTCACATGGATAATGAGTCAGATGTAAGTGGTGGGTTGGGCCTCCATGCATTTGGGACCTTGAACAAGAGAGAGAGGACCTCCAAAATCATATCTTGAATATAGCTGTTTTGAAAGCCTACAGTCTGTTGTATTTAGTTTCATCATCTACTGCTTTCAGTTAAAATCAGGCCTAGTGAATTTTGGTCTAAATAGGGCAGAATTAGCCTGCCTTAGCCATCCGTAAACTCTGGTCAATTATCATTACCCTACATGTACGTCTGGGTCTGATCTTAGTAGCTACGGTCACCTTGTTTGTAGGTGTCAGTGACGTCAAGAGTTTGAGCCAAATTTTCTGGTTGTAGTATGGCACGGGGGCGACAGTGGCTCAGTTGGTAGAGAAAAGATCTTTGGGCCTGAAGGTCGTGGCTTCGAGCACACCACTAGACCTACTTCTCAACTCCCACTGATGACAGCTGTTGTTGTGTCCTTGGGCAAGACACTTAACGCAACTTTGCCTGAAGCCCTCACTGAAAGCTCTCTGCTCCTGTGGACTCACCGCCTGCAGGAGGATCAGTGAGGGGCTGGTACTGAGTGGACTGGGTGCAGCTCTGAACGCCAACCCCTGACCCAGAAATGGATTAAGGGGAAGAAAATGAATGAATGGATGGAGTTAGGCAATGGTGGCAAATGCAATAGTAAATAACGCTCTTCAATCTGTTCTGGTTTGGCTTCAAATCTCAAGAATGTTGAGCAAAATTCATTGCAGGCAAAGATAATGGAGCTTTTTGCGAAAGTTCACTGTGGTAGACCCGGCCGCTGCTGCCAGATCTACAAGCCTGCTCATCCTCGACTCATCATACCAGCAACGCCCACATCTAATCAACCAATAACCACCAGGACAGCAAGTTAAAAGCCGGAGATGCCCACTTCTCGGCCTTCTGAAGTCTGCAAGCCTCCGCTGCCCCACCTCCTCCTTCTCTCATCGAAGCGTACTTGCCTACTGCCTCTGCCGTCACCAGTGCCAAGGGCCCCGGGGGGGATTATGCACGCGATCAAGCGCCGCGCTCAACAGCATCCCTCCCGGGCCTAGGGCGCCAAACATGCTTAATCCTAAACTTCTAACTGCATTTTCCCTCATGGGTCTCTCCAAGGTGAATTGTGGCTCTACTCCCCATGGGCTCTGTTAGTTGCAAAGAAGATGACTACAGCTAGGCTAAATGCTAACTTCCTCACTCACTCGGGCGCATGAGTTAACCCCTCCCATCTGTTAACGGAGTTCAATGGAGCCAATCCAGACCTTAGTACGAAATGAAAAGAGTACAATGGTATGGTATAACCAGGAAAGTAGTCGGAACTAGCAGAATTGTGGAATAAAATTACTCATTCCGGTAACAAATATTTTTTAGATCAGAAGTGTCCATGTTAGACAGAAAATCGTTATTTGTTTTTTCCCCCCTAGATTTTACAGACTTTGTTGTGTAGCGCAAAACATGGCAGAATGAATGAAGGAGATTGTGACTGTTACAAATGTCTGGTTGTATTTGAGAATACCATGAACCATACGCCCTCGTATAAAACTCCTGCAGATCTGATCCATAATTCAGAATCTATGGGCACCAGCTGTGAAAATGTCATGTGAGTGATGTTCAGCTGCAGTATAAACAAATGAGAGGTTAGAAGAAGTCATTTGAGAGCAGATAAAGAGTAAACAAAACAAAAAAATATCCCATGTTATTTTAGTCAGGCCTGGCAGAATGAAAACTTCTCAATTCATAACCCTGAATGCAAAGGACATGTACTCTCAATACTGTTACTCAAAAAAGGTGTCATACTTTAGTTTAGCCCTAACAGCTAATGAATTGCTAATTAGTGTATAATTCATGGCTAATTAGCAAAACATTGATATTTGTTAAGCGTTTATTAGTCCTTATCTAACTACTAACTGACATTTTCCCATGTGGGTTAGAGTTAGGGTTATAATCCAGTGTAAAAATAGAAAAAGGAGATGATCTATAAATACACAAGACAGAGGCATAGATGAAACGTTTGAGGACAGGGCAGGTAATCAAACTACACATAACAACTTACAAAATAAAACACGGCTAGGGATAGGGTAGGGTACACTTTTTACGTTGTTAATTAGTGAGGGCTAATCTATAAATCCTGAATCTGAATCTGAAAGTGTTACCAAAGATTGTATTCTGAAGAAGTGGATTCTCATAGTCTGTCTCAAAGCCGTAACCCAACACACTCCCTGCTTGTCATGTCCCTCTCAGCTGTAAACGGAGCAGAGCAGATGTCCAGGTTCAGGACGTGCTCAAAAGAGTGTCAAAAACGCTGTGGTATTTTTAAACCTGTGCCATATTACCTGCCGTGATAATAGCGGGCCCTTCTCCACAGGCTCTCAGACAGAAGAGCATAGGAGGACTGACTCAGGAGCCACGCAGATAAGAACGACAAAGAAAAATGCCAAAAGTGAAGGCTCTGCAGGGGGAGATAAGGACCAGAGTGTGGGAATGAATGAATGATTGATTAAATACATTGGAGAGTATGAATATGTGTTATACTTGTATACATATGTGTCTCTTGGGGGTTATGCCTTGATGTCAGAGTAAAAAAGAAGTCTCATACTTTGACTGAGAGCCTTGGTCCTTCGTCTCACCCAGAACATACTCAAAGAAATCCCAATCGATTTAGTTTCCGTACCAGGATGGCCGAGTGTTTAAGGCGTTGGACTTAAGATCCAATGGACAGTTGTCCTCGTGGGTTCAAAACCCACTCCTGGTATTATGGACATTAAATGACTTCTTTGATCGCCATTCTGGAATTGTGCAATTTACATCTGGCTTCAAGAAGATCAAATTAGAAAGGATGATATGTGGAAAATATACAGTATATATGCGCAAATCAACAACACCTTTGATGCCGCTGCTCATTCTCTGGAAAAGTGTGTCAAGGTGAGGGCTCCCTTGTTCCTGTTCATGATCTGTGTAGTGTATTAGTGCATTATATGAAGTTCTCTGTTAGTGTTCGGAGGCTGTTGTGTTGCCTTTTCCTTAGTTGATCTTGTTAGTCTTGCTGATGTCTCTTATATTGGAGGTTCTACATGGGATTAATCACATTGCATTCTCTCCGTAGCCCTCATTCAAACTCCACTCCTGGTAGCTTTGCCATGTGTGATTGATTCTATCTTGTTTCATTGGGGCAACAGTAGCTCAGTTGGTAGAGCACTGGCCTTTAGGCCTGAAGGTCGTGGGTTCAAGCCCACCATAAGACCTACTTCACAAGTCCCACTGATTACTGCTGTCATTGTGTCCTTGGGCAAGACACTTAACCCCACTTTGCCTGAAGCCCCTGCTGAAAGAACAGCTCCTGTGGACTCACCACCTGCAGGAGGATCAGTGAGGGGCTGGTGCTAAGTGTACTGGGTGCAGCTCTGACTGCCACCCCCAACCCAGAAATGGATTAAGGGGAAGAAGATTTATGGAACTAGTATGTTAAATTATTATTATACTAAACAAATAGTATAATATATTCAACAGTAATACCAGGTATGTTCATACCAATATTTACAGTCTATGGTTCATATAGTCGACAACAGCATCACCTGGTGGCCAAAAGATTCGTATTTTTCCTTCTAGTTTGTTTTGGTTTTTAATAAATCGCATTTATGTGGATATTTTTTTTCAATAAGTATTCTTACGTAATTAATATACGCATATAAGTGTTAATTATAGCTGGATGTATTTATAAGATTTTATTTTATTGCTACTTGTATTGTACACGTGATTTTTACCGAGGGCGCAAATCGGAAGTGAAAGCCGCACAGCCATGGCGTGTTTTGTATCGGGCAGCAGAAGTAGCACTTTCGAAATGTTTTCTTTATTTAGACACACAAAACAACTCTTTCTTCTTTGCTATGTGTTTTTAATACTTAGTTTAACGTCGTGTCCAGCGAAAGCCAAACCGGACAGCCTCAGAGAAGTGACGGACTCAAACTGGGAGGAGATCCTGACCGGAGAATGGATGATTGAATTGTCAGTACAGAGCCGCTAATGCTAACAGGCTAATCAGCTTTTAGCACCTATTTCTGCTAATAACACAGCTTTTATTGCATGCTTATTTGAACTTAAACTGCCCGTATTACTTTTTTAAATGTGTGTCTTGTTAAAGAGTTGTCTGTTATTTAGAAAAATGAGGAGTATTTATTGTTACTGTACCGCCACTGTAAGTTACACGCTCGGATGCTAGCTGTCTTGTGATGTCTCGCTCTGTCAGTTTTAAGCTACTAGATCTGTGCTTGCTTTTATGCTTTTACGTGAAATCTAATGGTTTGACACGGGTTTATCTAAGTATGATAATAATAGTAATAACAGACTTCACGTATAGTTTTGCCTTTTGCATTGGTGGTTCTGTCATTCTAGTGTGTAAAGGCATGTAACATTCACGTGTATAGCTATGTATTGTATGTCGTCGCTTCCATAAAGATTTATTGTTCAATAACTTATGGATGAACCAATCCTATGGGTGCGCAAAATATTTACAGTCCGTACATTTTTTTTTTACCAATGTAGAGGCATGTCCAAACTATGGCCCGCGGACCAGTGCGGCCAGCTGTGTCATTTCCGTGGCCCTTATCCATTGCAATCATAAACATAAATTCATACATAACATAAAACAAAAGTAACTTCCTTGTTTCAGATTCTGAAAAGTCAGACACAATCTATGCATGAAATGTAGTCTTGGAAACAAACTACTTTGGATCTCAAAATACATTAAAATGGAGATAAAATATTCAGGAAATGTCTCAACCAAAATGGACAAGCAAAGTGTGATTATATTTGAGATTTATTTTCAAAGTGTTTCATTAAAGAATAAGCTTGATATTCAGATAGTGTGTATCTTTACTCCAGTGAGTTTTCCAAAAATACACTATTTGCTAGGGCTAAAAAAAATAAAAATCAGAACGACTGTAATCGCTTGAAGTACTTCACAAACATGAAACTATCCAGTCGTATCCACTCATCTTGAGATCTTGAGAGTGCTGCTGATCTAAAATGGACCCAATAACTCAATATAGGGAGGATTACTATATAACATGGCCTATATATGTATTGCATGTCTTGAAATATGATTGTTTTTGTTGAGTTGTGATGGTATAGTAAACAAAAGTTGTTTACTATATCATACAACACAACAAACCTATTATTTCCACTTTCTCTTTATTGTCTTATGTTTCATGTCTCTACAGCTTTGCTCCATGGTGTCCCGCCTGCCAGCAGCTTCAGTCGACCTGGAAGGAGTTTGCCGACTGGGGAGACGACATGGGGGTCAACATCGCCAAGGTGGATGTGACAGAGCAGCCTGGTATGTGACCAGGGACACAGCGTGAACAAAAGCGGTCTTAAGACCTACTTGGCCCTACTCAACTCCACTCTACTCTACTCTACCCCAATTGGGTTGTTTCCACCGGCCCTGTTAAAACTATATATACACTGTATATATAGTGTATATACACCACCGTTCAAAGGTTTGGGGTCACATTCAAATGTCCTTATTTTTGAAGGAAAAGGACTGTAGATAACTTTAAACTAGTCTTAACTGTAAAGAAATACACTCTTTACATTGCTTATGTGGTAAATGACTATTCTAGCTGCAAATGTCTGGTTTTTGGTGCAATGTTGTAATTGCTGCAAATGGAGGATTCTTTGACGAAAGCAAAGTGAAATCTTATTTCAAATACAAATCATTATTTCTAACCTTGTCAATGTCTTGACTCTATTTTCTATTCATTTCACAACGTATGGTGGTGAATAAGTGTGACTTTTCATGGAAAACACTTGGGTGACCCCAAACTTTTGAACGGTAGTGTACGTCTAGAACTGGTGACAATATACAAAAACATGCAGGATGTTGGCCAGAAGGACGCACTTTGAGACACAAGTATAATAGGCTGACTATTAATCTAATCAAAAGAATTATCTGGGAAACACATTGGACATTTTGAACGTTTCCGATCAAAACATTTTTTTATTAATGGCAGTGTTTCCCACAGGTTTGAAGGCAATGTGTGGTGGTCGTCGGCGGGGGGGGGGGGGGGGGGGGGGTACAGTGGTACAGTGGTAGAGGACAATCTTGAGGTCATGAATCCAGTGAAATTAGTCGCACACCTTTTTACAGTAATAAGTTACAGCAGATCAAAAGTGACATGTTTTGACAATTTTTAGGCTATTTTGGACCAAAATGGCTGCTTTAAATCAATATTTCTACAGTAAAAGTTTCTGGTCTTTGGTACAGTGGTAGAGGGCAATCATGAGGTCGTGAATCCAGTAAATTGTCGCACACCTTTTTACAGTAAAAAGTTACTAGTCAAAAGTGACATGTTTGACTATTTTGGAGGTATTTTGGACCAAAAAAGTGTCTGGTCTTTGGTACAGTGGTAGAAGGCAATGTTGAGGTCATGAATCCAGTTGCACACCTTTTTTACAGTGAAAAGTTACAGTAGATCAAATGTGACATGTTTTGACCATTTTTAGGCTATTTTGGACCAAAATGGCTACTTTAAATCAATATTTCTCAATATTTCTACAGTAAAAGTGTCTGGTCTTTGGTACAGTGGTAGAGGACAATCTTGAGGTCATGAATCCAGTGAAATTAGTCGCACACCTTTTTACAGTAAAAAGTTACAGTAGATCAAAAGTGACATGTTTTGACTATTTTGGAGGTATTTTGGACCAAAATGGCTACTTTACCTCAATATTTCTCAATATTTCTACAGTAAAAGTTTTTGGTCTTTGGTACAGTGGCAGAGGGCAATAATAAGGTCATGAGTCAAGTGAAATTAGTCGCACACCTTATTCCAGTAAATAGTTACAGTACTTGAAAATTGCACTAGCGGACCAAATTGTGTACTTTATACATGTAAACAATAGAGTGGCTATCCTCCTGAGAACTCACAATCTGCCGGAGGAATCGTAGGGGGCTGGTGCTATGTGTGCCGGGTGGCATCTCTATAAGGTTTTAATCACAAAAACGTGTCTCCCTGACCCCAGCGCGCTTTCTGTTCGATAAAAATGGGTGACTCCGAAAGGACGTTCCGCTGTTACCGTAAGTTCTCAACAAAACGCGCACCGTCTTTTCCCCGATGCGGGCCGCATGTTCATAGAGCTGAAAGATGCGGGCCACTTTACCGCGGTAAATGAATAGACACAGCTGCTTACAGCGATGATCGCTGATGGAGACGGAGACACGCGGTGTGCACGAAGGGGAGGGGCTGTGTGTGTGTGTAGGTCTCTGTATGTGGGAGAGACGCGTAGCTTGAGTGAGAGTTACGAAGGGCCGCCACATTTTAAACCCCCCTCCCCGCTGTCAAATTGACCGCTGCGGCGGCACTAGACGATGCATGTTTTAAATAGCGTAACAAAAAATATATATATATAATAATACGAAACGCAATTTGTGGCGGGCGGTCTCTAATCTGTGGCGGTGCGCCACAGATTAGTCTATGTGTGGGAAACACTGTAATGGGCAGCAAGGCAAATATTGGAGCTTGTATCACACAGGCCCATCCCATGACTATGAATGAACTAAATCTGAGGCTTCACTTTGAAACTCAAGAAGCAGAACCTTTATTGCATCAGAAACGTATCCTTAAATATCCAGTTCAAAGCATCTTGGCTGACACTAATTCCCTGTTTTCGGTCAAAGTCAAACTAGTGCCAGAGCTGAAGAGAATGACGCGGCTCACGTTTCACTTCAGATTGTTGGGTTATTGTTCAAATATTGGGTCAGTGCATTAGTGTGTTGTAAACCAGATATTTTTGATCCGCGACAATAAAACTCAAAGATGGAAATAATCCCACAAGGCATTACACTGCAAACAAAAAGATGAAATAGGAGCTCATAAATCTAAGGGGTTTTATCTTAATTTAAGTACCTTTATAATCAGATTTACCAATGAGACAAAGCCATTTAGTCTTTTTTCAAGAACGGTTGCTTTATTTTCTCTTCATTTATTTTCTTTCATTCCAAGAGAGCCATTTCTTGTATATATGTATATTTTTGAATTGTGTTTTTTAAGGCAGTCAAAATGTGCTCAAATTAAGATACATTCAGCCAGATTTCACCCCTTGTTGCAGTGTACAATCATAAATAATCACATCAGTCTGAAACGCTGCCTCCCCATATTTAGTCCTAACTCTGGGCACCAGCAGCAATCATTTTTTGTTTTGTTTTTTTCAGGGCTGAGTGGCAGATTTATCATCACGTCTCTTCCTACAATTTACCAGTAAGTGTCTATTGTGGTTTCTCTGCTTCTGAAACTACTGCTTGGCTGCATCTGTCTGATATGAACCATGTTGGCCAAGTTACTCTACAATAATACTCTCTCTGAATTGTAAAGCATTAGGCTACTACTACATTACTTTTACTTTCACCAAATATGGATATAAATACTAAATCAGAATCATTTTTTATGAGGTTACTCCCTACACTGGATATAAAGTCAGTATAAGGTGATTGCTTTGACATACTTAAAATGTGATGCTCAATGGGGAAGTAAAACTCTTGACTAGAAATATTCTATTTATCTTGTTCTCTGCAAGTATATGTAATTATATATACTCAGAGCAACCACTTCCGAATTTGGACCAGACAGGAAGTGGTTGTCTGTAGCTATGCAACAACTGAAACATTGAATTGAATTGTTTAGATGGCTGCAACATAAGCATCTAACTAATTTCACCTACCTATTTTTTTGTTTCATGAATAATTAGTAGTAAGTAATATTTATTTATATAGCGCCTTTCACAGACTAGAGGCCAAAAGCGCATTACCATTGTTGTGGGCATCTGTCTCTCACTTCACACATGGGAGCAGTACTTATTGTCTCCAAGTGCTCCGGTTACCCCTACCACTAGTAGGGGTAACCGGAGCACTTGGAGGACCCCTATGCAGACATGGGGAGAACATGCAAACTCCACACAGAAAGGTCTGGAGGTAGAATCGATCCTAGGACTGATTGGCTGATTGAAGGTGGTCCTCTCTTTTTCACTTCTGTCTGAAAAAGCTGATCTAAAGATGTGACACAGGGCAAAAATGCATGCACGTGAAAACGAGTAATAGAACCAAACTGTTTTGCGCCTGGAAGTAGTTGCATTTGTTTGTGGTTTGAAAGTTTTGTGCCCCAGCTTTTTTTTACTTTAGTTTTTTTACTTTGTCTCTTTCTAAATGTTTAATTTTAGCAGAGGGGGATGTAAGGAGTGGGGTGCCAAGTAGCATTTAATGTAATTTTTTTATTTTTTTATTTTTAATATAATAGTATTGTGATTATTCTTTTTTTGTGTTTATGTATTTCATGGGGCTTTCCTTAAACAAACTTAAACTTAAAGTAGAACTAGAATTTACCATGCTGCTATTCAGGATATATAACTACAATATGTGTTTATAATATTTTGGGTGTTCATTTTGACATGTTAAGATTAATTATGTTAAAAAAACGGCTTTGAAGTCGCACTTTTTCATTTCCGCATAGAAACGCTAGGGGGCGCCAAAATGGCAGCGATGACGTAGGAGAATGACCTCTAACACAAGCGGACAGCAGTCATGGCTGGAATCTGTAGGAGCATCGATTGGAGGTTTCACTGTCATCTGAACAAGGTATAAACATTTTTTCATCATTTTTGTACATAATAGTGTGCAACTCTTTTAACCTTTTAGCCTTATTTGTGAGATTCAAGCTAATTAGTGTTGGGCAAGTTAGCTACTTCAAATCAAGATATCCTAAAACATGCTTAAGAGGCTAGTATTCGTTTTTACATTATCCATCACTTTGGTTACCTTAGATTTATTTACCACAATGTACATTGTAATATCCATAAATGCTAACACCTATTAACTAATTAAGTTATTTTGATTAGCATTTTTGGATATTACAATGTACATTATGGTAAATAAATCTAAGGCAACCAAAGTGAGACTGGCATAATGTAAAAACAAATATTAGCCTTGTAAGCATGTTTCAGGATATCTTGATTTGAAGTAGCTAACTTGCCCAACACTAATTAGCTTGAATCTCACATATAAGGCTAAAAGGTTAAAAGAGTTGCACACTATTATGTACAAAACTGATGAAAACCTTGTTCAGATGACAGTGAAACCTCAGATCGCTGCTCCTACAGATTCCAGCCATGACTGCTGTCCGCTGCTGTGAGAGGTCATTCTCCTACGTCATCGCCGCCATTTTGGCGCCCCCTAGCGTCTGCGAAAAGGTGCGACTTCAAAGCCATTTTTTTTAAAGTGATTGTCTGGAGTTTGTCAGAAACGGAGACAGAGAGGTACTTGATTTGAAAAAAACGACGCAAGCTCCCTCCCCCTTCCTTTCTGATTGGTCTACACCTATGTTTCCGTAACACTTTGAAATGTTAATCAGAGAACACATTATACATATACATTATTAATACACATGCACGGAGGTTTTCAGAATTATTTGTGAACGTTTTAATGAAAAAAATGTTTTTATGCACAAAAAAAGCGATCGCGGCAAACCAGGAAGTGCTATTATCATGAATTGCCAGGAGGTCAATTTAGCACAGGAGGTCAGGAGGTCAATTTAGCACATTTCCTAAAATTTGTAATTAATTTAGAGTTACAGACTATCACTTTAACATAATTCATCTGAACATGTCAAAATGAACACCCGAAATATTATAAACACATATGGTAGTTATATATTCTGGATAGCAGCATATTAAATTCTAGTACTACTTTAACTTTTTTATTTAAGGGTAATTTGAATACAATCTCCTTGTATGGGCATTTCTTCCAAACCGTTAGCTTTGCGTCCAAACAGAGACAGACCTGTTGCTAAGGCTGTTGCTAAGGCTGTTGCTAAGGCTGTTGCTAAGGCTGTTGCTAAGGCTGTTGCTAAGGCTGTTGCTAAGGCTGTTGCTAAGGCTGTTGCTAAGGCTGTTGCTAAGGCTGTTGCTAAGGCTGTTGCTAAGGCTGTTGCTAAGGCTGTTGCCAAGGCTGTTGCCAAGGCTGTTGCTAAGGCTGTTGCTAAGGCTGTTGCTAAGGCTGTTGCCAAGGCTGTTGCCAAGGCTGTTGCCAAGGCAAGAGTTGATCATGTATACAAGGCATTTCACCTGTGTGTCCTGTACATTCCATTACATTTGTGTGTTCACATTAAAGTGTCAATTATAGTATCAGGACCTTAAAAGGTTATAACTTGTATGTATAAACAACAATTTCTATCATAGATTAGAAAAAAAGATTTCAAACACAGACATATCAAAGAGATGTTGAGGATATAATCAAAAGAAAAGACTGACAAATACAAAATAATCTATAATTCAAATGTGGACATCTGAAAGTATGTAACAAACTTCCGCAGCTCGTTCCGTCAAAGGCATCACGTCCTTGACACAGATAAACAGCCACTATAGAAAACTTGATTAATTTAAAAAAAACGTTATCTTCTAGCAACTGCTGATGGACAGAAGAAAGTATTTGGATAAATGAAAAACATAATATATCTTCTGATTATTCAAATCTAATTTTTGGCCTTCTGTCACACTTTTGTACCCTTTAGTGTGAACCATAGACTGTATATATTAATGGACAGAGTCACGCCTATCTCCGCCGTTCTAACTAATGGGCCAAAAAATGTGCTCTACTGGAGCTATCCAAAATGGCCGCGAGTGGTCCCGCCCACAAGAAAATTGTGAAAAAACGCATCTGCGCATGTGTCAGCTGGCGAGAGCTCCATTCATTTGAACTAGAGACTTAAAAAATTCACAGCAAGTAAACTAGAGTGGTCCACATGTGTGTCAGCATTGACACACATGTGGAACGGAGCTTTGGGCCAAGAGCCAACTTTTGGACCATCCTGTAAAGATGTTTTCGAGAAGTTTGCCAATGCTATATGTTAGCATTGGCTAATTCTACTTCTGGGTCCACCCCCATCGGCCCGGGGTGGTATTGCAAGCATGTCAGCGCACGTCATTTTGGCCATTTTTGAGCCAAAACCCGCCCCCACTGGTTTGAACAAGCCCATTTAATATTGCCAAAACATGCTTTAAGAAACATACAAACGTTATAACTTTCAATGGTGGAAAAGTTGTAGATTTATTTATTTATTTACTTACTACTTTATTCTTGCTTCCTTATTATGCTAAAACTACATATTTTATTTTATTTCAGTATAGAGTTATTATTCATTTAGCTTGTGCTGTATGCTCCTCATTCAGACTGTTCTGTAACCGGTGATGCAACACTGAAATTTCCCCTCTGTGGGACGAATAAAGCATCTTTTATTATGACTTGGTGTTTTCCAGCTGTAAAGACGGTGTGTTCCGGAAGTACCATGGAGCGCGCACCAAAGACGACTTCCTCAGCTTCATCGACGAACAGAAGTGGAAAACCATAGAACCAATCTCTTCCTGGTTTGGTCCCTCCTCCATTCTGTAAGTATAACGTTTTAACACTAGGGCTGTCAAAATTATCACGTTAAAGATATTATCACATTTGACGCATGTTCCAAATAACAGGCACATGCCCGAAGGGGTTAATGCCCATATTTGGGGCGGTCTGTCTGCTTCATACAAAAAATCTTTTGTGTGAACTGTGTAAATCCGTTGAGAAATGTTCCAGGGGGGCGCACGTGGCCGCGGGGCACTTGCTGTTTGCTGTATTAACTCAAACGGGAGTTCGCATCCTCCGTGGCCGCAGCGTTCTGACCCGGGGCAGCTGCGGCTGCTCTGGACAGCGCAGTTCCCACCTCCCAGCAGCTGTGACAGCAACACGACAAACGGCGCCGCCGTAACGTCATATCCAAGACCAGACACGCACAGAACTATTCTCTGCTTGTTGTTTGTGTCTTTGTGTAACCTGTGCACGCTATAAATACACCGCTGAGGCTGGACTCTGGAGCTGGACTATGAAGTGTCTTGTTTCTCCTCTGTGTCTCCTCCCAAAGCGCAACTAAACTCGCTAAATTACAGCTGGGGTACCTAATTTTTCCTTTGCACTACCCGTTCTTGTTGGTTGTACAATTAATTTTTAAGCCCTTGTTGGAATATAGCTATCTAATCCTCATACCCTAGTACTTTGTATATTGTGCGTTAGTTAAAGGATATACGTGTGTGTGTCTGCTCCACCATCAACCATTTTAAATCTCAACATTGAGCTACATGCCAAATAGAATGTATATTTGTGTATATTTTTTATGTTTTGTTGTGTTGTGTGAAAAATATAAGTTTGAAATAAATAAATACTCAAATGATTGGAGTTCATGAAAAGCAGACATCAGTGGGAGTCGGTGGAGAAGGTCTCATGAGGAAATCAAACCCACAACCTTCAAGCTCAAAGGCCTATGTAGTATTATTATTATTATTTTGCTGAAGGTGAACACATTGTTTCTTTTCAGAATGAATGCAATGTCGGCTTTGTTTAAACTCTCAATGTTCATCCGGGTAAGTCACCGTTTACTCATTGCATTATTTGGTAAAGAATGAGTTTAGAATTGTCCAAACTCCTTTACATTCTGTGTAGTTTTCCCTGTGATAAAAACGTTTTTTTTTTGTTCAGCGTTGCCATAACTACATGACAGACGAGCTGGGGATCCCAAACTGGGGTTCATACGTCATCTTCGGACTGGTGACGCTGTTCTCTGGACTGGCTCTGGGTCTGGTGAGTGAGACCGAGCCACAGTGTTTAAAATACTAAATAATAAGTGTTTAATTTGCTATTTTCTTTTACTTTTTTTTTGCAGTTGCTGGTGTTTATTGCTGATTACGTTTTCCCTTCAAGAAGATTTTCCTCAGACAGTTACTACCAAAGTGAGTTTATGAACATATTAACCATCAGCACTGTTAGTAATGCATCAGTATGGTATTATAAGTTGGTGGAAAGGTGGTATATTACGTTTGTAGCCACAGCTGCCCTGGTGCAGACTGGTGGAAGGGAGGCTGCCATACTGAGCCATGGACCTCCTATGATCATAGCAGCAGGGATGGTCGTTCTGCTCCCTATGGACCAATGGCTCCTTTGTGATTGTTATTGTTGCATTTGCTGTGTTCGAACTGTTTGGTTCTCTGATCTATTGTTGGCAAATCAACAACTGTCCTCTGAGACGACTGCTGTTGTAATTTAGGATTATACAAAACAAAATTAAAATAAATACATATTTGTTATTGCAGAGAAACAGGCGGCGGAGCAGGCGCGGCTGTTGCAGGACGACGACGCTGACGGAGAGGAGGAGGACGAGGACGAAGAAGAGGTGTGGAGACGGAGAAGAGCGCCCCCCGAAGGCCGCTCCGAGAGTGCAGCTCAGAACACAGACGTACGTAAGAGAGCGGAGAGGAGCAGAGAGGCGGAGGACGACGAGAGCGAGAGCTAGGGACGCACCAGAGACACGTCAAGGGACATTTCCACAGGACAAGGCCACGGTTCCTCTGCTTTTAGCCCTGCGCCTGTAGACTGGATATGAGGGAGAACCATAGACTGTATATAGATGGACAATGCTAACCTGCTAGCTCAATGAAACCCAATAGGGAAGTGCTTATGGACAAAGTTTTGCTCCTACTCGCTCTGGCTCTTCTTGACTTACGTGTAAAAGTAAACTCCTTTTTTCAATCCTGGTGTTTATATTGTGATCTTGTGTTTGTAAATCCAGATATGAGCCCCAACAACTGACCAATCAGGAGTCTTTGCTGAATTCAGCTTTAGCTCGCGATTGGTGCTGGGTAATTTGGCCATTGCTACCAACAAAATGTGCTTAGATTTAGCACCAATAGCCCGTTCAAGCTAGCTCTTCTCCTGCATTAATGCTAGTCGGTCTGTCCACTCCTTATATACAGTCTATGGGGAGTGACAATGGTCTGTTTAGTCTGTTTTCAAATCTAAGATAACCTGGAAAAAATGTCAGTCCTAAATAAGAACATTTCTGGACTGGGGTAGTATTTATCTTAGGTTTATGATTCGCCAATGGAACAGTTGATTGTATTGCTTTGTATGTCTCCCAAAAACAGCTTTAAACACACTCTGGTTTTAGTTCTGCCATTCTGAAGCGCCCTCTAGTGCACTGTGGGCGAATTGCATCAGATTATACATAATTATGTTGATACATCTTTTGAATTGCCTGGCTTTCTAAACATGGAATACTCTTGCGGAAATATTTACATCCTTCAAAAAGTAAAAGAGTGCACTCATTAGATCTCCACGGCCAGTTTGTGCACATGCGATAATTTGGACATTTCTGATATGATTGTGAAAAAGTCCGAATGAGTGTTTATCCCATCACAAACATTCACTACTGTTCAGAGGTGGGAATTAGCAAAAATTTGACGATTCAATCATTTTACGATTTAAGTCAAATCAATTTATTCTTGTATAGCCCTAAATCACCGCAGCAGTTATCTCGCAGGACTTTACACAACCATTGATTTTGCCAACACAGATCAGGTAATCAAACAGTTCAAACACAAGGAATAAAACAGAAAACACATTGTTATTAGGCCATAAGAGGCAGATGACCAATGTCCATAAGTGTTGATAAATGTCCATAAATGTTGTTGAATGATACAGCAAGTATTGCAACTCGATTCTGCGATATAATGCAATTCAAGTCCCTCATTTACTCAAAGAAATTAAAGAAATAGAGGAAAATAAGACTCAACTCAGATCTCACATTTATTATGGTCTGCACATAAACTGAAGCAAAAACTTTATCCTTGAACCTTCAGGATAAAGGTTCAAGGATTACAGACAAGACATAATTATTCAGCACAACACTTTCATTATTCACATACAGCAGACTAGAGTCATAACAAGCAGACATTGTAATGTAACCTCAGATGGAAATTACTAGAGTAAACTCAGAAATAGTGAAACAGATAATTATTGTTGCAGTACTTTGCTCTACTGAATCCATTTAATTCTGTGTCCAGAATATCGCAATGTTGAACAGAATTGATTTTTTTCTCCCACCACCATCTACTGTTGTATCAAATTAACTTGGATGAACTTAGATTTATTTATTTTACTTCCCAGCCATTTCAAAACAGTGTGAGTGTTTGTGGCCTCACTTGGCATTTCTTCCTTTTTTGAGTATGGTTAAAAGCAGAGGAGTGGAGGATCTGGAGAGGCAACTTTTGACTTTAAAGACTATAGAGGGTGGCCATGTTGGAGTGGGCGGAGCCAGGACAGCCATAATATCTGCTGCCTCTTTCGGTCTGTGTTTTGCGCTTTCTCAAAACGAGCTGATTTTTTTTCTCAGAACTAAACATTTTTTGAAGCTACTAGAAATAGTAATTTTGTTCATTTCTAATTTTAACTACTTGGACCCGATCAGAAACCTGTTCAAATCAGATTATTGTTGGTGGCAATTGCACAGAGCCCTGGGTGATGTTTTGGCTTAAAGGTGACATAACATGCAAACTGTACTTTTTAACATGTGTATCTGAGTCTGAGCTGGTCCAGATATTCTTGAAATATCTGAGTTGTTTGCTCAGTGGGAATGAGGCTATACATCATGACTAATATTGCAGATAGACGCATGCTATGTCTTCTTTCTTTCATGCTAAGTCCTGGGGTCTACCTTTTTTTACCATTTAGATGACTATAATTCAAATGAGGCCGTTGATGATGACGGTTTGATGCTTTTTTGTTTAACTTTTTTAGTTTAGTGGACCCGTATCAGACTTGGTACCATGTGGGAACTCGTGCTTACATAATCTCTCAATTCACTTTTGACTTGAACAAATATCTTTAGCTACAACGACTCATCCCTAAAAACGCCTTTAAAAACTTATTGTAAAAATAAAATCTCTGCTTTATTACTTGAGTGACTGCCATAATGAAGCAGATCTCTAAAAGACTGTTTTATTATGTCAGTCATTTATTTTTAAGACTTCTTTTAAGTCTTCAGGTTAAGACTAGACTCACTTGGTTAACTCTACAGTCTGGTGTGCTCCTGCTTGGTTGGAATGAAGACCTGCACCCTTTCCGGCCTCGTGACACCCCTGCTTTTAAGTAACCCAAGTCTGGTATAGGCCCAAGTTTGGTTTGGTGGATTTGACAAAGAGTTTTATTCTTATTCTATGCATTCATTCTTCATAAATGTCTTTTTCCTGGTTTGTTTTCTCAGACGTATGTTACATTTTATTGCAAATACTGTACATAACGTTTTAGTCGGGGGGGAAAGTTCATATTGCAGTGCAATTGATGGAAACATTTGTGCGTTTTGTTTTGTTTTGAGTAAAAGGTACAATGGACGCTTCAAATAGCTGGTTTTATAGCGTTAAGAAAGACCAGTTCAAGCTGGTGTATGTCACTGGTTCAGGGTCTTTCGTCCAATCGTTGCTAAGGAAATAAGTAAATATTTTCTCTTGATTTGAATGTGTTCTGATTGTCTTAAAGAAGGCATGTGAAAGATTGAATTTTTCTCATTTACCCACGATATCTCAACAGTCACAGACTTTAGTTTTTAGATCCACCCATGCTATCAGCAACTTTCGGCACACATGGGATAGCATGATGTCATTGCACCACTATGACTTCACACGTATTGCCTATAAGATCCCAATTGTTCCAATTCAATATCAGCAACAAGTTATTGACTACATTTTATATCAGGCATAACTATTGCCACTTGCTCAAATTCACTTATACTTGTCTTGGTCATTGTTGAGTTTTGTGGAAAAGGGCTTTGTCCATCTTCAAATCTATTATTTTCTCCTCTTTCTTTGTTTACGTGTGTTTTATTATCAGAGTAGCTGTAAAGACGCACATTTGGACATCAACCAGAGCAGTTTAAACGTTCACTAAATACATGAACAAACTATTAATTTATTGTAAATGAAAGAAGTGACTGGGTATTAACCAAACCTGTTGAGTGAGATTTTTTTGCAGTGATTCTTTTTTGTCATTTCATCTGTAAGTAGAGTTTGAATCTGTACAAAAAACGTTTTTGACGCTGGACTTTGTTTGTACTTTTTCTTGAAGCCATGGTGAGAGATGAAGAGGTTTTGGCTTGTAACGATTTGATTTTATGTGTGAATCTTGATTATTTTTCAAATAAAATGTGAAGTTTTATCCTGTGTTTGCTTTTATAGTTATCTGATACTGATGTGACCTAAGCCCAATCAATCGTCTTTACATACACAAGGCAACACAAATCCCCTCACCACCCATATCACATCAAGCATAAATCACACCCAAAAACAATGAAAGTCCCACAGGGTTTCATCCCAATGGAGAATTTGAAAATAGTAAATAATAGCAAATAGTTGTTCTTTCTCAAACCACAGCATACAACATATTACATATTGATTATATCTGTGGTTTATTCATTCTGTAAAAGAGGAACTCTTGCATGTGTGTTTTTTGTTGTTTTTGTTATTAATCAAAGTATACCTGTAGTTTACTCAAGTACAACAATAACCACAGCAGCGCATTGACGCCAACTTTGAAAAGGATCTTTCTTTCATCACCATTAGAGGTCATTGTTTTGCAGTAATTTGTTAGCCTGAAGCATACAGTGATCTTCTATCAAAAACGGTACAGATTGTTGTTTACTCATGTTGAGCTGTAAACCCTGGATCCGACCCAGGTGAGACCCGAACATAGAGCCCCCAGCTGAGGAGGCTGATATTTTATACCTTAAGCCACTGGGTCCTGTCATATATATAATACAATGAACCACAATAGAAAAGAGACATCAACCAAATTTACTTTCTCTAAAGGGTGTTTTTTACTCTGGGATTTAAAGACATTCCTCAGAACTGAAAAATAGGATAAATATTAAAGTTCAAGCTGCATGGTTTAACATGATCAGGATAGAATAGCTAATGTGTATGGACAATGTCACTAGGCTAGATCACTATAGATATGAAATTTGACTCTTGATTTTGTTCATCGACAAGGGCTATAAATACGACCCAGGTGGGACTTGAACCCACAATCCCCAGCTCCGGAGGCTGATGCCTTATCCATTAGGCCACTGGGCCATGAAAGCTATGCATGTTTTTTTAAAGTTTTAAAAATATATATTATATATCAACGCTTTCTTGATTCATAAAGTTTGCAGAGTTTGTGGCATTAAAGTGTGGATATAAAGTACGCCAAAAACAGATCAGGATGACAAGGGACACTAAAATCCTCACAAAATCCGACCTTTATGAAAGCTGTAGGTTCTCTGTCAGCTGAGGTCGAGCTGTTTTAGTTTACATTGAGTTCTATGGGACTTTTTTCTGGGTAGTCCGCATGAATTTAGTCTGCAGTACCGTGGGCGCCCCCTGTGCCCGGAGGTGGGACAGCTATAAGCTAGTAATACACAATTTAGATATTATAGTTCCATGGGTATATGTGGGAATATTAGTGTCCCTTGTCATCCTGAACTTTTTTTCCTTCTTAAATCCCTCGGTTCTCTATAAATCCACTCTAGTGCCACAAATTGTCTCCCACTCTAACTCCTGCTCTAGCTCCGCTCTGATCAGCAGCTTTGATTGGTCAGGACATGTCGTGCCCCTCTTAACACGAGCATGAGAGCCACATACCATGGATCTATTATAATAATACGCGTATTTGGTGCAAAGCATCATGGGAGCTCGTCGACTGCGCAGAACTGGGAGGACGCATAGATCTATGATAGTAACTGGATAGTGTGTTACTAGCTTAAAGCTGTCCCACCCATGGGCACAGAGGGCGCCCGTGGTACTGCAGACTACATTCACATGGGCTACCCAGAAGAATGTTCCATAGAACTCAGTGTAAACTAAAACAGCTCGACCTCAGCTGACAGAGAACCTACAGCTTTCATAAAGATCTTTTTGTCTTCTCAAATCCTTAGATTTTCTGTAAATCCACACTTTACTGCCACAAACTCTGCTCGTTTTCTTTGTTGAAACCAATGTGCCACCACTTTCGCCGTCTATGGGCAGTTTCAAAATGGAAAATGTGAAAAAACTCATTTGCTTTCAAAATTCCATAACAACTAATCTAGACTGTACCATCCTGTAAAGCCGTTTTAGAGAGGTAAGAAGATGCTATACATTAGCATTGGCTAATTCTTATTCCGGGTCCATCCCCATCGGTCCAGGGGGGTATTGTACGCATGTCAGCACACGTCAATTTGGACATTTTAGAGCACAGACCCACCCCCACTGATGAAAACCCATTTGCGCATGCATTAGCCGGCACCAGTCCCATTAATTTAACAAGTGCCTTATGAAGTCCACAGCAGCTAAACTAGACTGGTCCACAAAATATACTCCCCTCGGCATTGACACATCTGTCAATGTTGCTTTGGGGCAAAGAGGCAACTTTTGGACCATCCTAGTTAGAGGTTTTCAAGAGGAACGTAGATGGCATGAAAGAGGCAGATTGCAAGTATGTCGGCGCACATGCTCATAGACCTTTTTGGAGCCTGGACACGTCCCTAATGGTTTCAACAGGTAGCTTGTAGGCAGGTTCTGAGCAAAAACATAAATGATCAGGAATCCTGAAAAGTGTAGAAGATCTGAAGTGGAAAATATAACTATCAATTAGCACAAATGAACGGGGCTGGAATGCTGAGTGTTTTCACTGCTGCTGATGAGAAGATTGCTGCAGAGATGTGCTGCTCTACTGCAGGAAGCCACACCCAACCAGAATACACAGGATGGGGACTGCAAGAACCAGACTGTGACAAGATTTTGTTTGTCCCAAGAGAGAGTCTTGAAGGGATCATAGACAGTCCAATCAGCAGCTGCTACGGTGGCAGTAGCTTCGGCCTTCAGATAATCAAAACATCAAGTGGAAATTCACCTCGTTTGAAGAATGATGAGTTCAACTTTCAATCTGTAGCATTAGCATCTGCTAGCTTTAGGACCTGGTGTTTTTAGGATGAAGATGGTTATCACTCAAGGATGCCCCCGTATCCATCTGTTTGGGCACATCTCAGCAGCACAGGTACAGGTTGGCCACTACAGTTTTGACAGAGTCTTGTAAAATGAACATATTGTGAACAAATCAGACCACAACCTGCTGTCCTCATCTTATTAGAAAACATTTTATCTTGTACTGGGACAGAGTGACAGAGTGAGGGTCTCCAGTCCAAAAATACATAAATATGACATTCAGTGATAAAGCCGAACAGTTTGAGAGAATTGAGACTGATTGATTACACAGTTATGAGTGAAAGTTTATTTGAACATGGAATAAAAACAGAATTAGAACAAAAAACTACAACAATTAATACAAGAGAAAAAATACACAGTAATTTTTTGGTTATTTTCTATACATACAACCTTTTTTACTTAAGGTGAAAACCAAAATGATACTTGTTTGTATAGACTCATTTTCTAGAAGACAATATATTTACAGAGATGGGTGTTTTTTGGCACTTGCAGTTCACAGTTTTGGTCAGACACGCAGCGATGTCCTCATGTGCTTCCTGTGATTGGCTAACAACCTCAGCAGGATGAGGAAGTAGCACTTGTCTTGTTCAACTCAAATGTGTTCCTCATTTATCTTCAAGAAATAGAAGGCGAAGTCGAAAGAATAACTATTTCAATGTTTTGCTCGGATTCAAGTTCAGATGAAGTGCCACTAGAAAGTTTTTATTGTATTTTTTATGAATATTGAGAATGTCCAAATGTTTTCCTAGATCATTATTTAACACTAGAATTCCTAGAACAATAATATTTACGGCATAATTCACGGCAATTGATTTAACTGTGACTTTTTCTGTTTCTTTGTGTACTGAACACAAACTATTGTAGTCTGTCTATCCATCTATCCATCTATCTATCTGTCTATCTGTCTATCTGTCTATCTATAAGCAGTGTTATTTGCAGACTCTGGACCTTGAGTCTGCAAATAAAGTTATCTATCTGTCTATACTGTGTCTATTTATCCTATGCGTACTTGTAAGAAAAAGATTAAAACATCTTCATTATCAGGTAGTGTTTTCATCCTATGGTAACAGTGAAATTGGATTAACTGATTACAGTTTTTCTCGGTCGCTTTGGTGCATTTTTCACATCGTTCTTCACATTTTCACAACTGTTGGTGCATTTCTCAGAACAATTAGTGCAAACTGCAGAACCTCGTGGATAACCTGCAAAAGTGCGTCACTTTCTCAAAATGAAAAGTTATGTCCTCAAAAGCAAGTTCAAACGTCAATGAAACTGTCTGTGTCGTCAAAATAATATGTCCTAACAACATTGAGTATGAACATCACAGTCAAATGACTTAGTCATGTTTTCATTGTGAAAGTTTACTCTCTCTGTGTTTTCAGAGTAAAAAAGTCAGATCTCGGTGACACTTGAGCACGACTACTGTATGAGCACACTATACACGACCTATACAGCCATTTACAGTAAAAACTACAGTAAAGTTACACAAAGACTGTATTTAGAGAGTTAACTGACATTCTGTAACATATATGTATATGTGCATGTATGTATGTATGTGTGTATGTGTGTATCTATGTATGTATGCACTGTATGTATGTGTGTATGTGTGTATCTATGTATGTATGTACAGTATGTATATGTATGTGTGTATCTATGTATGTATGTACAGTATGTATATGTATGTGTGTATGTGTGTATCTATGTATGTATGTACAGTATGTATATGTATGTATGTGTACTGCATATGCTCTTTGTATTTTTGTTGCACAATGCTGTAGAATTGCAGGCACATACAGTATACTGTACATGTAGTATATACATAGAACAAACATACAAGAAATATCATTATGGTAGAACTGTGACAAAAATGAACAATAAAGCATACCTCATGAGTGAAAGCTGAAATTCACCTGGGATAAATTGTTCAATTTAAGAAAGATTTACAGGAAAAAAAGATGAAGGAATGTATGAAATTAGCTTGACAGTTATGATTTTGAGAACTAGTTCAACAATTTTGTATGTGATGACCAAAGCGATGAAATGAGGACAGTTAGTTTTATAGTGAATGACTATTCAGAAGTGATAAGTGTGTTTCATTTTGACTGACAGGACAGAAGCAAATGATGATGTTGAAAAAACGCTGAGAATTGTATGAAAGTAACTGATACATGAACAAAAGCATTTGAAATGTGTTCAGAGGAATGAGAAACTGCCATGATCATGTGCACCAATGACCCAATGTTGTGGAAGTTGAACAAATAGTTTTGAGAACTTTTAGTCTGATGTGAAAAATGCACCAAAGCGACTGAGAAAAACTGTAATTCATTTGTCCTTGTACCAAGAAAAAGTGTGTATGTAGGAGGGGAAGTTACTTACTAGTTGTTCCATAACGTCATTTCTGTGTGCAAAAATATAGTCCTAATCTCGTTCTAATTCACTCCCAAGATTATGATAAAGGGTCAAAATGAAGTAAACCATTTCCTCTTAGAAGGGTGTTTGAAAACAGGAACATCTGATCACACTCTTTATTTATTAAAAGTTCACACCTCTTAATCTCTCTGTGACTGTTGATCTTTCGAAAGAACGGAGTCTTCACGCACAAGTATTTGCATAATTTTATTGAAAAAAAAAATAGAATCTGCAAATTGCTACATGAGGTTGTTTGACAAAAATGCACACACATGTTATAAAAGTAATAAATATATCAATACAAAATGGTCCTCTGGTGACATTGCTCTACCGTTGTTTGCCTCCCAATGTGTTTTAAGCAAATAACACAATATTGTTCGCTTTATCAGCACTTGTCCATGTCCTGAAGCGGCATTTGAGGTCTGCTGTCCATGGATATCTGTGACGTTGACGTGTTGGAGCAGCCTTCGCCCTTGACAAACCTCTTCAGATGCTGCATGATGAACTTGCGGAATTTCCTTGTGGCGAAATAGTACACCACCGGATCCAGGATACAGTTCAACCCCATCAGCACCAAAGTCACCTGATGTGCGTCGTTGAGATGTTGTAAAGATCTGGTTGACCATTGCACGCTGCCCCAACCTTCTTGAATCTGCAACACCGCTAACGCCCACGGCCCTTGGACAACGTGGTGTGGCAAAAAGCACAAGATGAAGACACCGACCACCGCTAGCAGCATCTGCGTAGCTCTTTGCTTGACACCTCTGGGGCGCTTTGCGTTGGAAAAACTCCTGGTGGACTTCCTGGATTTAATCGTAGATGACCTTATCTCAGATTGGAGCGGAGATTGCGTGATGAGGTTTTGAACGATGAGTAGGTTGCATATGACGACGAGGAAAAAGATAACGAAAAACATTGCGATTATGGCGAAATGGGTCGCGGCTACGGTTTTCTTCTGAGAATCGGTTTGATTTTGGTATCCTTCAAAGCAGCGAGTTTTACCGTCGGAATCCAAGTTGGTTCCAGGTGAAAGTAGATAAGGAACGGACATGGCGACGACAGCAAGCCAAATGACAACGCAAATTACTATCCCGCGATTTCGACGGTCCGAAGATACAGCATCCAACGGCTTCGAGACCGCCCAGTATCGGTTGACACTAATAGCACCCAAGAAAAGGATGGAAGAATATGTATTGACGAAAAATAGGGATCCTGTTAAACGACACATTAAATCGGAGTATATCCAATCGCCACGACGACTGTAATAATCGATCCAAAAAGGTAGCGCGACCACGAAGAGAAGGTCCGCCACGGTGAGGTTGGTCATGTAGATGCGAATTTCGCCCATGGCTCTAGCTTCGCGAAGACAACGAATCACGAACAGGACGTAGATGTTGGCGAGAAGACCCGTGGCGAAGATCAAGCCGTAGATGGGAGGGAAGAGGGCATAGCGAAACTCCGAGTCCAGGAAGGAAGAGGTGTTGGTGGGGAGAGGGGAGACCGCTGGGGTGGCTGTGGGGACCAGGGTGGAGGGAAGCATAATGAGTCCAACTGGGGAGAGAAAAACTGTGTTAGAAATATTTAAGACTAAGATAAAGAGATTATTTATTCCTCCCACAGTGGAGGAATGTCAGTGTTGCATCATCAGTGATAGAACAGTAGGAATGAGGAGCACACAGCTAAAAATGAGTAAAGCCGTAAATACAAGTGAGTAAAATTAAATACAATCTCTAGATTTATCAAAATAAAGAAGCAAGTTTAAGATCTCTATGGTTGGCCTAATAAAGAAGCAAGTTTAAAATGTACCTACAACATTTATAGTTGAGGCTAGTTTGCAATGTCCGTCCCTAGGAGGGCTTTTAACACTATTAAAACACATTATACATTATAAAATTCACATTATACAGACAGGCAGACAAAGTAAAACATTGAAGATAACAAGAACAAGAAAAGAGGACATCACAAAGCGAGTTTCAGTGCAAATATGCGGTAAAGTGCAATAGTTTGTATAAAGTGCTATGTGCAGTTAAGGTGCTTCACAACTGTTAAATGTAGTTCCCAAACTTCTATTCCCGCACCCAGGGCCCTATGGCGTCGTCCTGAGGGTAAAAGTGTTGCTGGCAAACAACATTTTAGCCTCAAACACTATCATTTTAGGTTTATGTACAAGTTTAGTTAAGAAGGAGAGAAACTGGATATGATACAGGGCGAGAACATGCACCAGATAAACAAGACAGGGTTTTAAGTCCTGGACCTCTGGGTAATACTTTATTGGAGCAATTAAAATAAAGTCGTTAGTCTTTATTGCAGCGTCTAGTGCAGAGGTAACAGCGGTAAATAAGGCTTTGAGGTCTGAGCTGAGTGTCCACAATAGCACTATCAGATGAGAGAACCTTTTTTCGTCCCACAGTGGGGTAATGTCAAAATATATAATATAAGCAGCTGCTATGTTTCTTAGCTAGCTGTAAATGCTACATAAGAGCAGCAAGTATCAATATGCAGTATGTGTGTGTGTGTGTAAAGTGTATGGCAGGATATCAAGTAGTTAAAGGGACATTCAGGGGACCCTCTGGAATTGCAGTATTGCATATTGCACATGATTACAAACTTTACTATTTGCAGATGGATGGTACTTGTACAAGTTCAGCAGTTCTCATTGTGCAGTCTGACAGCAGCAGGAAGAAAGAACCTGTGAAACCTCTCCTTCACATCGTGGGTGTCTGTCTGTCACTGCATCTGCTCTCCAGAGATATAAGTTTGAAATATTATTATTGTTATCATTCAGGCTGTTTTCTGTAAGATGGTGATCAAGAACAGGTGTCCCTCCAGAAAGGCCTGATAATATTCAAGATTCAAGATTAGTGTATAATGTACCCGAAGGAAATTTATCTTAGACTCACAGTTTTCTACATTGGAAGTGCACATAATTCAATTCAATTCAATTATTTTTTTGCAATTCCCTAAATCGCAACAGTAGCTATCTCAGAAGACTTAAATTTCAGTTCAGACACAAGAAATGCAATGATTTTAAAAAACACATAGAGCCATTGGTCCAGAAGACAGACATGAAACATACAGAGCAATGCAGGAGGTTCTGGAGGTTCACAGATTTAGAGAGATACAAGTTGTTATTCCGGCTGTGGGATATTTTATTACTATTGGTTGAGACTCTGGCAGCGTCCACATGGGAGAAACTCACACTGAAGTGATTAAGAACAAGATTCTCAAATATCAGCTGTAATGTCAAGATGGATGCTCTCTAACTGTTATACACACTTATCTGTACAGTTCTGCTTTTGTTTTAACACACACGCACACGCACACACACACACACACACACACGCACACGCACACGCACACGTACACACACACACGCACACGCACACGCACATGCAAGTCAGGGCTTGAGTCGATGTGGATTCCCCAGTATCTATAGTATCTCTGAGCCATGGATGGAGAGCAAGTAACTAATAAAATTTTAACGGTAATTTACCCAACTCTTTCGACTCTTAATCTGTATAATTGTAATGGATCAATCATCTGATATATGTAAATATGTATCATCATTCTGTATAAGATACACTGTGTACTATATATACATAAGACTGAATAAGAAATGAGGAAATTAAATCTATGACTCAGATCATCACACGAAAAACAAATACATTCTAAGATTCGGAATACGTCTCAGAGTTGTGGGAGTTGATAAAGATTAAGAGATCCGTTATTCGTCCCACAGTGGGAAATTTCAGTGTTGCATCATCAGTGACAGAACAGTAGGAATGAAGAGCACACAGCACAAGATGAATTAACAATACCTTTATACTGTTATAAAATATGATAAAATCTCTAACTTCAGCATAATAATAATAATAATAATAATAATTCAAATAACAAACAGACCAGAGAGAGAGAGTGAGAGGGGTCAGAGGGAAAGATCCCAGATAGAGACCTGTGACAGACCAGAGAGAGACCAAAGAGACCCCAGATAGAGACCAGACAGAGACCAGAGAGAAAGACCACAGATAGAGACCTGTGACAGACCAGAGATAGACCAGAGAGAGACCAGAGAGAGACCAGAGAGAAAGACCCCAGATAGAGAGGTCACAGAGAGAGAGACCAGAGAGACCCCAGATAGAGAGGTCACAGAGAGACCACAGATAGAGAGGTCACAGAGAGACCACAGATAGAGAGGCCACAGAGAGACCAGAGAGAGAGACCACAGAGAGAGAGACCACAGAGAGACCAGAGAGAGACCAGAGAGAGAGGCCACAGAGAGACCAGATAGTGAGTCCAGAGAGAGAATGTAGATTAGAAGATATTAATGTTTTCTAATTTGTTCTAATATGCCTCTCACCTGTCTGGTCTGCTCCGTCACAGTTGTCTTGTCTTGTGTGAGTGAGAGAGAGGGAGAGAAGGAGTGGAGAGCAGAGTGAAGGGGCGGAGTCACAAAACTCCCTCATTGTGCAACTTTCTTTTTCGCTTCCAGATTTTACAGTTCACTTCAAATATTTTTTCCCTATTTTCTTGTATTTCTTACAAGGCCAAACAATTACAAATATATGTTGGAAAGTTGCTCTTTGCTAAAGTGAGAGATATTAAACTTTCTTCTTTCTTATGTCAGAGATTGTATTGTACTTATACGTTTTGAGGTATTACTCATTTATCTTGTGCTCGTCATTGCTGCTCTCACTGGTGATGCAACACTGATATTTCCCCACTGTTGGACAAATAAAGGATCTCTTAATCTTTGTCTAAACATTGTTCCTTCATTTGTAGGATTTCCTGCGGGTGCTCCAGTTCCCACAGGTGCACTCTCTTCGGTCAGACTCCAGAGACCCTGCAAGAGAGATACTTCATGTTTTAAAACTTTGGAAACATCTGGAGACACTGCCCACTCCCATGGCCATATCACAACAATAAACAGATCCGAAAGCAAAGAGAAAAAAGCTAAACAATTATAAATAAGAAATGTTGGATCCAACCCAAACAAGCCAAGGAGGAAGTAGAAGTACCATGGAGGATTTACTGACGATCTGGAACATGGTGAAGGGTGAACCGGGTCTTTACACTGCAGTAGGTGTAGGTTAGTACCATATGAACCAACTGGGACTCTGAGGAGCACAGGGACTGGCCTCCTGCTGGGACTCTGAGGAGCACAGGGACTGGCCTCCTGCTGGGACTCTGAGGAGCACAGGGACTGGCCTCCTGCTGGGACCCTGAGGAGCACAGGGACTGGCCTCTTGCAGTGACTCCAAAGAGCACAGGGACTGGCCTCCTGCTGGGACTCTGAGGAGCGAAATAAAGGACTGGCCTCCTGCTAGTCCCAGAGTCAGGACTAAACATGGCAAGGCAGCGTTTCAAAAACAGTTTTTTTTTGAAAATGTGAGCTTCTTCTCCAACAATTTTCAAATCCAGGTTAAAACTATTTAGTTTCTCTGTGCATTCAACTGAGGGACTTTATCTTCAATCTTTTTGTGCGGTGCTTATTTATGTTATTATTTTGTTTACATTTTTGCTTTTTGTTAGGCACTTTGAGGTGCCTTGTGTATGAACTATATACATTCTTTAAGCCACAGTGACAAGAAAAGACAAGACTGAAACAGTACACTTTCACTTTAGATTCACAGCTACTATTCACGAAACATGTAAAAACCTTCAAACAAGGTCAGAAATCTAGGGGTAATACTGGACTCAGTAACATCAGCAGCTTTTTACCATCTAAAAAACATTGCCAGGATCAAAAACATAGTGTCTAAAGCAGACTTGGAGATTCTTATCCATGCATTTGTCTCCAGTAGGTTAGACTACTGCAATGGCCTGCTCACAGGTCTGTCCAAACAGGCTGTAAAACAGCTGCAGTACATTCAAAATGTACTGCAGCTGACTAGAACCAGGAAGTACGATCATATTAGTCCAGTTCTCAGGTCTCTGCACTGGCTTCCTGTGGCTCAGAGAATAGACTTTAAAACAGCTCTGCTTGTGTACAAGTCTCTCCATGGCCTCGCACCAAAATATATTAGTGACATGTTAGTCCCATATGAACCAGCCCGGACTCTGAGGAGCACAGGGACTGGACTCCTGTTAGGGCCCAGAGTCAGAACTAAACATGGGGAGGCTGCTTTTCAGATTCATGCTGCTAAAATCTGGAACAATCTTCCAGAAGATGTGAGACAGGCCTCCTCTCTGACAATGTTTAAAACCAGGTTAAAAACAGTTCTGTTTAGCTGTGCTACAACTGAGGGATTTTATATTTTTATCTTTCTTTTTAATGTACTGTGATTATTTATGCTTTCTTATTTTGTTCAGCACTTTGAGTTGCCTTGTGTATGAATTGTGCAATACAAATAAACTTGCCTTGCCTAAAAACAACAGAGAGAGAGCGAGCGAGAGAGAGAGCAGAGAAACCGGAGAGAGTCCTGATGTGATGTGTGTGTTCTAATTCTAAACTAATCTTTACCAACGACCAGTCATTACTGAAATCTGAACACTAGATGGCAGTAGAAGACGGATTTAGGCAGAGCAGCACTTCATGCCTAAAAATAAATCCTGATAACCAACTAATAATAATAATGTCATGTCATTATATACTGTATTTGTATAATACATCCATGGTTCCAACACATGATAAATTATACCGAAGAAATAAAAAAATCATGTTTAAAACTAAAAATAACACAATTCAATAGAATACATAGTTCCCACAGACCAATGAATGTCACATGACCTCCTCGGAGACGCCATCTTTGATGGCACGCTGCTGTGTTTGTGCATTCCATTAAACAGAAGAATGAGAATAAATGTAGATATTCAAACGCAAATTGGAAAAAAGGGCAACTTTTGAGCAAATAATTGTATATTAATACAATGGCACCACAGTTTAACGTGCTACGGACATGTTTTACATATTTGATCAAATTATGCAGCAAAAATTAACAAGCAATGCAAACATTTCCCAAAAACTTTATATTTAATACCAGTTGGAGCTCCATTTAATTATTTTAATTATATTAACAATTAATTTAATTAATGCTAATGCCACACGGACACTCTGGATTGCTGTTATTGTTTATTTTCGCGTTTTTGACCGTATGTTTTGGTGAATGGTGGGCAACTGATTTTTCCAGGCGTAAAGAGCAGTTTATTTTATGACACAGATCTTTTTACAGAAGCAATGCTGTTTGTGAACATTGTTTTAGCCCACCATAGAACTATTATTATCTATTTAATACATTTACGTTGCCCTCGAGAGCCTCGGACGCGACACCGATCATCCTCATAATAAAGTAATCTAACGCTAAATAATGAAACTCTCAAGTTACCAGATATCAGCATACACAAGTTAGTACTGAGTAAATTACGTCTGTCAACACATTATAAGATACGATACGCACCTGACACAAAGTGCTCCGAGCATATTCTTGCGTGTTTTGAGGGAGTTTCTTGCCTGTTTATCTTCGCAAGCCATAACCTCCGTGGTTGTTCTGACAAAAGCTTAGTCTTCTCACATTCATGAAGTCTAATGATGGGTATACTGTAAAATCCAAGTTTAACGGAACCTCCGGCACGATTTGAACATCCATTGACCCAGCAGGAGATGACCATTTTCAACTTTATCACGACATTAACACGTTTCAGCTTCTTTTTCTATTGTTTTGCCCACAGAATGCCAACACAAATGGCGCCGGGTCGGCAAATCCCCGTATGTAGTGACGTCATGTGGGAACTGTGCGTGCGCGTGCGTGCGGGTGTGTGTGTGTCTAGCAATGTATCATCAATTACCATTCAACTAAAACAAACGGTTTTAAACATTTATCATCTAAACACTGCAAAGAGATGAATACATATTAAAAGGTTGAATCAATTGCGAACGTTTAACTATGCAGTGACGCCCCCTGCAGGTGATAGTCAGATCCCGTCAGACCTCTGAAGGTAAGCAGGACAGGGCCTGATTAATACTGTGATGGGAGACCTTGAATAAAATCAAATACAAATAGTGATAGATGAATGTTTCCCGCTTCTTTGTCCTGCACCTGTTATTTTTAGCTGAAGAAATGACCACATGCTTTCACACACTTTTGTCAAGTATGTTCTGTAATCAAATATATTCGAGGCTTGTGGTCACTTTTACTTCTTGAGTACAAAAGTGTATCTGTCCAGGCGTCCGGTGCTGCTGGACTGAGGAGTGCAGCCAGGGGGCGCTGTGGTGGCCTGAGCTTATGTCACATGTGTAAAGTGTAGCAGGAGTGAACACTGGCCTACATTCTGATCCTCACATCTGCTCTGCTTAATCCTCACTCAGAGCAGCACTGGACACAGCTCTGTCCAGCAGTGGTCAACTCATAGTTACAATCTATGGTTCAACTGGGAGGGAAACATGTGTCAACAAGAGATATTTGGGGTGACAGAATGAAAATGACTTAAACGTTGAACAAAATAGAACTGTTTTTTCAATGCTGGGAAATGTTTAACCTTTTTTTTTTTTTTATTGTTTTAATCAAATCATTGTACAATAGCAAAAAAGCAAGTTAAGAAGTAGCTTTTCTTCATGGTGTAACCTAAAATTTGCCCATGAGACAAGTATAAAATCTCTTGTTAAATAAACACAATCACAATAAATGACAAATATATTTATAATTGTGCTTGAAATAATTGTGGACATGATATAATGTTCAGATCTCTCAGTGCTCCTTTTGTCGTATAGTCATTTGTTTGATCCGTGTGTCACCGCTGCAGCAGGAAAAAGCTTTGGATTCAGAATCTGTGAATGAACTCGCTCTTCCACAGTGTGCGTCTCTGTAGCTGTGCGCCAGGTCTGCGGCGTTCATCAATGGAGAGGCCCTTTTGCAAATCTCACACTTATAATACAGTAATATAGGTCTACAAAGTGATTTAGATTCAAGTTAAGTAAACTCAAACCATTTTTTTCCCTTTTTTTTGGCTGCTCTGTTTGCTGTCCTGTTCTACAGTATGTACAAAGGTCTATTTATATTTGTCTTTCTACGACATTTCTTACAATATTATTATTATTATTACAATCTATTATTTTTTATACAGTTATTCCTTCTCTCCGTGTCGAGCTCCCATACCAAACCTAGGTTTTCAGTCAATCATATATACCACCATTGCAATAATTATCCCTAATACTTTAATTTTAATGAGTGTTACAATGACATTTTTTACAAGGTTGTGCTTATCAAACAGTTAGATTCAAACCAAGACATGTATATAACATATACAATGGTAATATCTAATCGACCCCAGGCAACGTTGGACCATAACAATTGGGCATCGGGGCCAAAAAGGTTGAGAATCTCTGCACACTGTATACATGATTTTGAACTTGATTAATGAATAAATAACTAAAAAGTGGGGTGAGAAAAAATACCTACTTCTAATCCACTTCAGAAGTTACCTGATTTCAGTATTATTACAGGTTGACCTAATGACGGAAACAAAATTG